TATTTTGGCCCTCATTTGTGAGCCCCCAATGTGAAACTACCTCGGTTCTGGAATCACCACAACATTGTGACGCCTTCTATTGTAAACGTCGCAACTAGCCAACAATGGATCGCGTCCTCGTGGTCAGCACTCCAATATTATGGGCTGATTGAGCATGTGCCTCCCAAGCCTGGAAGCCAACAAGTAAGTATTTGACAGCAGTACTGGTGACGTGTGATCTACAAGAAAGCTGTTGGTGTCCGCTGTGAAGTAATGGTGTTTGAGAGTGGAAGGTTTGCAATGCAGACGTTGGATTCGAAGGTCTTTTCGCTGTGATGGAATGTCACCACAGTGTGACTTCTGCTTCCATCCCACCGACGAGTTCAATTGCCCCAAGTGTTGGTGTGGTGGGTGACAGGGAGGAAATGAGGGTGGGTGGGGGGAGGGAGTGGATGAAGGAGAAGGGGGCAAGGAGATGGAATGTGGAAGCACGCTCTGGAGTGCCTTCACAGTTTGGCGACTACACCAGTGGTGTGAATCCAATCACGTCAGTCAATCCCTAGAGGTGTGAAATGGACCGAGCTGCAAGATGGATGGTTCACCACCCTATTCATTGCATTGGTCTCACCTTGATGGATTGCTGCTTGTTGGGTAGGTGGATGGATGGATGGGTGGATGGATGGATGGATGGATGGATGGATGGATACCGGATGGATAGAGAATGGATGGACGGATGGATCTCTAAAGGATGAGTGGTTGTACCCTGATACTTGTGCACGAGGACGTTGCGATGAATGCGTGCCTACTCTGACTGATTGGACTGAAAGAAATTGGAGAAGTTTTATGTGTGTTTTTTGGTGTTTTATTGCACCAGACTGTGGAGGACGTGGGAGTGCGTGTGTGTAGTGGTGAGCAGGCACACTCAAGGCAAGCAGTGTCCTCAACCACCAACACCAACACTAACCACCACCACTTCTACCACCGTCACCGTGACTGCTACCACCTGCACCCACAGAACGGAAGCTCAAAGTTCGGTGGAGCATGGGGAGGCACTGCTCAGGTGTGAACCCACCTGAGTGGGGCAAAGGTCAATCGTTGGTAGTGCACACTGCTGGTGTGCACGCGCCTGCGAATTCCCCACCTCTATCCAAGTGGCACAGGGTACGGTGTGGCCTTTCCTACTGCCCCACAACTTGCCTTGCACACCGTCCACATGCAGGTAGTTCACGCCACCAACGTTAATGATGCTGAATTCCTTCCCCTCACATGAGCCGGGACGGTTTATGATGAGGGTGCTGTCAGACAGGCATGCCGAATCGCATCCCATACACGGTGTGAAGTGCAGAGGTGGCGTGAAGTGGAGTGGAGTGTTGGTGTGGTGACGGCGTTGGCGAATCGGTGCCAAAGGCAAGGCACCACAATGCCAAATGACTTTGTTGATTGGATAAAATGGATAGGGCTTGGTAGTAGGAAGGCGTGTTCACTGAAGCGTAGGGTGGGTAGACGGACGAAAGGATTAATTGTCGCGAGATAGACGGATGGATGAGCGTAGATTCACACCTGGAAGGCTTTCACAGTGGCATTAATCTTTGACAAATGCAGAGAAAGGAGGGCACAGCCTAAATGATTTAGTGTTTATAAATTAGAGGTTAATCTGAAATCCACATACAGTCTTATTTCCATTTGAATGAGTGAATGGAAAAACAGCTTGACAACGAAAGGAGACACGTGGGTTCTTTTGGAACTTGACAAATGTCAAGTGATTTTGTCTGCTGACTCTCTGCAAATGCACTTTTTTTGTGGCTATCACACTAATGTTTCACTTATTTACCAACCTTGACATCTTTGCACGCATCCGTGCGTACGTGTGTGCGTGCGTGGGTGCGTACCTATGGGCATGCGCACGCTCCCAAAGGGTTGCAGCTGTCGCCGCCATCGATTATGCTGCCAACGCTGACACTAACCCACACAGAAGCTGGTGCTAAAAAGAATCGCCTCCTGTGACCTTTTTTGCCTCTGTACTTTTTCATCGTAGACTGGTGGACTTCTGCTCAGGGATTGACATCTGGCAGGATCACCCAATCATCGAGGCCCTGGAATGGTGCTCTCTTTGTTCTTCTTCAGTTCCATCGAAATATTGAATACTGATTGGGCAATGGAAGGAGAATCATGGATTGGGCTTTGCCTTAGATTCTGTGACAACTGATCCCTCTTGACAACGCCAACAGACTGTCCGCTGCCAATAATCTCACGCCTAAGACGTGTAGATCGCTTTGACACCTTCTATTTACTACCCATAAGTCAGTTGACAGAGCCGTGTTTACTGTCGGTTGGCATGACTCACTCCTAACTCCAACTAAATGGCACAAGGCAGCACTCTTGAACTAATCTTCTTATTGACTTCTGGTCATATGCTGCCAGAGGGCTTACGGGTACCGTCATAGTGAGTCAGCAAGCGCAAAACTTCTCGCGGTAGTTGAGCTGCAAACACAGGTAGGTGCAGAGGTCAACGCGTCTGGCAAGTGTTGTCGCCTTTGAAAGGGCCGCACGTCTGGTAAACCAGTAAAAAATACCCGTATTCATGGAGATTTCACTCCTCACCTTTACTTGCTGTTTGAAGCTCCCTTTCAGGTCCGTCATATGATCAGTTGAACGTCATAGTTAAAGCTACCTGCCAGGAGTGAGACAAAAACGATTTCACTTCATCCGCTAACCCATTCAATGGTCCACTTACTTCTCTAAGTTCTCACTTGTTTATTCAATTTGAGTTCATCAGTTCATTCTTCTGAGCACTCCCACCTTCGTCTGGACATCTATCCATCCTTTTCCCACCTATTCATGCACCCTGATCCCAATCCATGCATCCATCCCTCGCTCCCTTAATCCAACCTCTCATCCAGTGTCAGGTCAATAAAAGTGGGGGAAAAATAGGACTCCTGAAACCTCTTAGAAGGCATTAAATTTAGCATTTGAATTTCATTCATGCACTCAACACTTCATCTGCTACTACTCCACATGTAAGGCATCGAAACATCGTAAGGCCGACCTTGAACTTTATTTACATGTGCCAGGGTGTTCACTTTCACGCCATTGGCTAAATCGCACAATGGCAAAGGAGTGTGTGATCTCAGTCTAAAAAAGTGTGCTCCTTGTAAAAAGCCGTGGTGGAATTGGATCAACCGGGTTTTTGTTGATTGCACCGAGCCAACTGGAACTTAGAGGTGAAGCAAAATCTTCTCTTGGTTTTAAATGAATGCACTGAAAAATTTGCCTTGGCAAAGAGAAAAGGAAAACATGTGACTAATTTTCTCCACCAAAGCACATGCTGAGCCCTCCAAAAAGTGTACTATCAGGTGGCAAGTGAGGAGAGGGCATTCGGAGCCGTTTGTTGACTTCTACCAACCCCTTATTTTTTCTTCCTTCAATGTGGATGCATTCACTTTACATGTTTTATTTCCTCGTGGATTCGGTGTGTGCTGGGGTAAAGTGGCCGAAGTTGATATCACTTGTGTGGCAAAAAGTGGCGCGAAGATTGATGCAATGCATGGCGAGGCAAATGACTGACATTCAGTCAGTCAGTCAGTCGTGTATTTGTGCAGTCGGGCGGTCAACCGGTGTTCGTGCATAGCTCCAAATTGCAACAATCCCATCTCAAGAGGCGGAAGGGACTGACTTCCACATTCAGTTTGCTAAGGGTTGGCACCTTCCACAGAAAAGGTGATGGGCAGTGAGATTAAAAGAAAGGGACAAATTCCGTCGAGAATCCGATTTCCTGGAGGTGCTGGGCATGGCTCCAAAAGCTAAACGAAGTCCTTCAGAAGTAGTAGCTTTGACTTTAACTGAGTTTCTCCCTTTCCCCCCCCCCCCACCCGAAACTGCCTTAAAACGCAGGCTAAACATAACGTCAAGCGACGAGAAGGAGCAGTGGAGTGTTGAAATACCTGATTTAGAATTTGACTACCTCTACCAGGCCACCAATGCATCTGTTCTTTCGGGCTTTGACCAGTCCAGCCCTCCCCCCATCTCCGATTTGACGGGCCGTGTGCAGCTGTTTACACTTGACAGCTGTCTTCCCCAACACAAAACAATTGACTTGCCATGAAAGTAGGTTTTCCAGCAAATTTTTCCAAGACGCAAAAAATCAATTTGCAACAAAGTGACATCCCCCTAGGTTGTGCATGTGGCTTTAGGAACTCATGTGATGCGGTGGCGTGGCCAGTGTGCTCGTAGATACCACAGCCACAAAGGGATTGGTAGGGAGATTCGGGAGGTATGGATAGATGGCTGCAGAATAGACGAATAGACACGAGGTAGAAGATTAAGTGGATTAGTCGAAGGCAGGACATCGACATTCCCCCTCCAATGTATATAGTCCCACCTCTCTCAGAGCCTGTAGTTTTTCCGTCTTCAGCTTGGCACTGTGATAAATGAAGTCTTTCACTGGTCTTGAACGCACCTTCTCTACCCTCACGACATTGCCTATCAACTGCCTACTTTGGCGTGCCATGCTGACAATGTATTCGTCTGATGCCAACTCTACCTTCCATCCATCTTTTAGTCCAGCCCTGTGTGCCATTGTAAATGCTCCAACAAGAATAGCCGTATCTTACTGTTCCAGGAAGATGACAGTCAGATATTTAGAGGAACCAGCATCAGCTAAGAAGATTTCTCTCCAGAATTGGTACCTCAGTGCATTAGCTATCATAAAGGGCCTAAGTGCCGCTAACAGTCTCTTCCAACCACCGTCAGACTGTTCGTTACCATGCCACCAGCGTGTCCTTCGATGCCGCAACGACTGAAAGTGCTCGTGTAGCTAGTTTTTATGGCTAGGCGATTGAGCATCAAGTCAAAATGCTTTTGAAAAGAGAGAAATGTCAGACGACTTAATAAATCTATGCTCTACCTGTATTTCACCTCGAGGTCTTGGTGCTGTTCCCTTGCTGCCTGTGCTAATCTCATGTTAATACAGCATTGAAAAGTGTCTCATCATCACAAGGTGCCGCACATAGTCTATGCAGAGCTTTTCAAGTCCGTTTACTATTCCATCAGATTTAGTCACGATTTGTGACAGGGTATAGACCAGATCACGTGATCAACCTGATTTCCAGAAGTTTGAAGCTGCTTTGACACTCCATTCACGGCCTTTAGCTAGTAGAATAAGGCGTTTTTGATGTATACTGCCCGCAACTCTTATTAAAAGGTGGAAAGGTGTAGCAAAGTTTAATATAAAGCATCTACATGGTATATTCAAGTCAAATTGGGAGTTTTTGGCTTCAAAAGGAGTGGCGCACATTTTAAAACAATCCCAGTTTCATTTGTACATGTATTATTTATCTCATTTGAACTATGGAAATCAGTTTTGGAAGAGGACAATGCCATCAGCCGTGGTGGCGTATCTGCATGTTTCCACTGCTTTGTTGTCTGTTTTGATTACGGTGCTGAAGTACATATTTCCTTTCGACACGAATAATGCTGTGATGTGGGGAATTTTTGGTCTCCCTCTCAAAACGATACCTCCACACAATGCATCATTCAATTCAATACCCTAGCGCTAATCAAAAGCTGAATGGTGTCTTAAAATCCGATATTTGTGTTAGATTGTTTTCATCCTTCCCACAGAAAGATTTAGCAATTGGGCCATGCGGCTATCAGAGGTCCAAAATCGGGCGCTTCACACTCTAGGGGAGTGTTCACAGGATGGAATGACTCCCGTGGGCTGGTAACAGAATCCCCACGGCCCCGAGCGACAGTGATAGCCGTTTTAAGGACATTAACTCACGTTGGTACAAACTAGTGCTCTTGCCTGTCATCTTGAATAATGTCCCATTACAAGTAATACTTGACAAGCTTGTAATGGCAACGCCGTCTTTAACCCGTATGCACGTAAAGGTCTCAGTATTACTTGAATACGCAAATAAAATCAATGTCATACGTAAAAGGATGAACTTGAATGAATTTTGGTCAATTTAAAAACAGGGAAGGGATTAAAAGTTTGTCTTCCCCTGCTTTCTCTTCATCCCCCCCTCCACCACCACCACCACCACCCGGCCTTTGCCTACTTACGTACCCACCTACATACCTTGAATACTCGTAGCAATGGGCGTCAACCGGACAAACGTTGGAAGATTGGAATTGCGCTAGCGCATGTCCATGAGTGCGTACGTAACACCCGCAGAAGAGGTAACCACGGGGACTTATTGATCTTTCCCCTCCTTTCCCCTTTGTTACCCACCTACCTCCTCTGTGGGTGGAATACGGCTACTCTCACCAGCGTCACTGACACCACTACCACTTTGGGCTCTTTTAAACTTTTAGAGCATCTTCTTTTTGGGGGGGGGGGGAGGATGAAGGTGAGAAAAGTTATGAATACAAAGTGGACAAAACTTTCGTAACTATGGCAGAAACTAGGCATTAAAGGGCAATGTCAACTTTGCTTCCTTCATTTCCTGCTAACCGTCAAACAAAAGCCAAGAGGTGATTGTGTCAATTTTAACTGAATTACCCATTGGAATTTGCAGTGGGTTAAACGTGGCTTTTAAAAGAGGCTAAATAAAGTTAGTAAATAAATAAACTTGCTTTTCATTCTCTGGTTTACTCTAAGGTGGAGATTAGAGTGAATAAATTGACAACAATCTGATATTTTTAACGCCTGCCCAGTTGCCTGATTTCAGTGTTTGATTGCAACGTCTCAAATGTTTCCAAAAGGTGGCTGAAAGATGAGTTCCACGTTTAACATCGCCAACTAAGTGGAAGCGAGAGTGGTGGTGATGAGAGATACCAAAAGATCCCCCTTCTGCTAAGGGGCTTTTAATAGAAGACATCCTTTATCTAGTTGGCTTATGCTTAATGTTTGATTAATCGTTTTCTCTTTTACTCATTTATGAGTCAAGCGAAAGGTTTACTGGATTTGCAGTTAGAAAATTATTTCAAATCTAGTAGCGGCCGTTTTGCGTCGAAAAGGAGGCCGGATTAAAAATTCTCTGACGGAAACTAGAACAACCTTCAGAAAACAATTAGCCTTCTTTTTCGCTCGCATTTAAATAGACCCACTTAGTTTTATTTGTAAAAATCTTTAATTCAAAATCCTGTTATCTGAGGGCTTTTGTAAAAATATTCCAATGACAGCAGCCAATAGAATTCTACGGCGTTAAGCCAATGGCACACCGAGTACTCTAGCCAATCCCGGCCCGAAACTTTTGGCCAATTAAAAGCCAGTATGGGTGTGTGTGCGCAGGTGTATGTGCATGAGTAGCATTCAGCGCAGCGCTGTGCAGGCACATAGACAGGTAGGCAGAGATAGGTAGATAGATAAGCAGAGGTAGACTCCTCCTCCTTGCATGTCCACGATCCTCTATCGGCATTATTGATCCTTCAAGAGACAAGCTGGTGCGAGGCGAGATCTACAGTAGACGCGAAAGTCGGTACCCGAACGCAGTGGCCTTGGGATTAAGGAATCCCCTCAAAGCAGTGCCCACTAGTGGCCTGCTTCTCTACGCGCGAAGTTGTTTGAAGCGACAGCACATCACCACTGAAAGCAGAGAGCCAGAGACAGAGGAGGCAGAAGAGATGTCCACAAATTTAATGCTACCACCAGCACCTCCACAACAACTCAGCAACGGCTCCACGTGCCGAATCAAAGCGGACCCCCAGTCACAACAACAACAGCAACATCAGCAGCATCAAGTTGTTGAGGAAGCTAATGATGGGGTCAACCTCAACGATGAGTCGATGATGGTGCTCTCCCAGTCCGTAGATTCCATCCATACGGTTGGAACAGCTGCTGGAAGCGACGCTCTTGATGTGAGTTCAGCTTTTGTATAAAAAGAAGGCAAATTGTCTTTTAATTGCTCACGAGGCTACGTTTTTACCAACAGCTGATATTTTAATGGGGTAAACAGGGGTACTGGCTTCTTTTAAATTCTTCATGAATAATGTCACTGGATGCCATCGCCGTCTTTCATGAAATCCCCTCTTTTTTACGTATTTGTGGCAAAAATTAACATTCCACTAAGCCAAAGAGGCATTTATCGCCCTTGAAGAAACAAGAATAATGCAATCGCTCCACATGCATCAACTGCACCCTCCTAGCGTCTTTATACCTCCGACATTTAAGTCAAATGTCACTTGGCCACTTCAAGAGGAAGGGCAAAGTGCTCTTTGTGCACACCTTGGTGTGCTGTTTCGCATGAAAACAGAAGAAAAACCTTACAAATCAAAACAGTTATTGTTCTTATTCATCCAGTCATGCAAGCGGCAGTCTTTAGTGTCACTGATTGGGAATTGTAAATTTTTTCCGTCTTTCATCACAGGCTCCAGTGTTTCTAAGATGGTTATTTTGAAATACCTAATTACCTTCACATCTCCAGAATAAACAGTCACTTATTTCTTTTGTGCGACAAAACAAGTCTATTCCCCAATTTTTTGCCTACCACCATTTATTCACTGCAGCAGTTTCGTGCCCAGCCTTAGATTACAGTCAAATAAGCAGCATTAATTTAATCCCCACCATCTCGGTCATCGAACAGTAGTGAAGGGAGTGAATGAAGAAAACGATTTTCACCATCCCAGATTATAAATCGACCAATGGGAAAGCGATTCGGATGGATTGACACTTTTCTTGTCAAATGCTATTAAATTACCTGTTTGCGATTTAGCGTCTGATAATTTAAATTTATTTTAAATTGTAATATGTGTGAGTTGGGTTCATCGATTTTTTAATCTGGAGGCATTGGGGGTCTGCTCTTTTCCCCTCCTTTAAACAATTAATCAATCGATCGGTTTTAAGCGGTGGTTATTCAACAGATATTTTATCGATTTTTCTGTTTTGGAACAATAAATTGGGATGACGACGCTAGTTTTTTTAATTTAATGTAAAAGCATTGCAAGTCGAGGTTAACAGGGAGGTCACAAGAGATTTCAAAACTTCATTCTCTTTTTCTCACGGGAGCGAGTATTGTCTTGTGCTTTCCCCTTCTTGCCGCCGAAAGATTTGCAGTTTTGGGTCGGTTGAACAGCAGATTTTATTGACTATTACCGCACCATAATTCTTACCCACTATCGCAACTGTTGTTGAACCACTGGACATTTATAAATTGAAGCTCCCTCATGGGGTTCGCTCTCGTGCCTGTTTTTGCCGCAGGGTCAACTCAATGATTGCCGTTTTGAATAAGTCCAATTTAACTATTGGCTGTTTTATTAATAAAGAAGGAAAGTAACGATATGCTTATATGCATATATCACCAAGACGAGGTTCATGGCACTTTGCTCCGTAACTAATTCCCACTTTATTAGGGCATCTTTTCCCGTAGTGTCTCATTAAAATCAATTGTTTTATTTTTGAAGTGGACGCCCTTTTAGACCCCCCTCCCCTTTCCTCTGCAAAACGCGTATTTTTAATGAACGGCCACAATGGGATCAATACTTGACCTTAAACTACATGACTTTTCTGGGTGGGTGGGTACCTTATGCAACTAATAACTAATTTGTCCATCAAATGAACAATAGTGCAAGCTGTTCCGATGCTTCCAACGAATATCGCGTAAGTAGATTAGTAAGGAGTTTTCCCCTCCACTTCATGTCTGTTCTCAGACTTAGTTATTCATAGCGTGACAAATACATGTTATTATTTGTTATTGCCAGATAGGGCCTTTATCCCTCCGGAGACTGCGCCCAAGATTGCATTAAACAGGCGCTTGGTGAGTCGCCCCTCCAATTGGTATTGTAAGGCGGACATCCTTCTAGGTGGGCTGTTTTTACTGCGCCTTTTATTATTGCCGCTTTTTTCAGAATTCATCTCTGGCCTTGCAAGGGTATGTGTGTTTGTTTGTATGGAATACAAAATCTTTGTTCTCACGATCGCAAAAAAATTGATGCAGCATCTTGTGTTTGGCTGCATGTGAAAAGCGATTTGACGGTAGTTGTAAAATTTTGTCAATTGCGCAATGATGCTGATTGGTCACCTTCCCCACCAATCAGGACTTGAGACGGGTTCACAGAGGGCGGGAAATCAATATTCTCGGAAATTGGACATTTTGATGGGATTTATTTGTCTCCTTACTGTTTTCTGTGACAAAAAGAGTGTCCCTCCTAATGCATGTATAGATTAGTATAATTTGTTAAATAAGGCCAACGTAAATTTGCGAATTTACAAGGCATGAGTCACCGGTATTGTGCTGGTATCCGGCCCATATCCAACACTACCAACCTTCAATCTGAAAGGTGGGCAGGTGGGTAGTGGCACAAGACCACTTTCTTCTGCTGTAAATTGTTTGTTTGTTTTGTTTGATCATGTGAAGGAAAGTTGAGAAGCACCTTTTACGGCGGGCTTTGTAAGTAGGTCAAACGAGTAAATGACTAATTTCAGGGCACACAGCTCACAATATCTGTTGAATCTCACACTGGTATTTTGCGGTGCTGAAAAGAATTGATAATTGCAGAGTATTGAAAAAAATGGAAATTTTGAGTTGGTCGCTAAGTGGCTGAGCGGCGACTGGTGGAGGTCAGTACATTCTCCATGAAAGAAAGAGACTGTTCTCAAGCCATTCTCAACCCTGGCAACATGTGTATTCGTGTGTGTGCGTGACGTTGCTATAGGGACTACCTCGTAAACACACACACACACACACACACAAACATGCCTCTACAAACATGTAACACGGCCGTTACTTGGTAAGTGCGTAGAAACCTGGAATTGCAAATCAACTCAAGATGTGCACTCGTCCTCTCCAAGGTTGGGTGTAAATAAAACAAAAAGTTGCTTAATTAAGCTCCTTTGACTACTCTTGGTACTCTACCGATTGTCGTTACAGGGGTTGAGTCGCCTCTGGAGACGGTCTCGTACACGCAATGATGTGGAGGTCGATTTCCAAACCATCGAGTGATTGTTCAAGTCTAAGTAGTTTCCATGTCAGTTGCTAGTCGTAGCACCATCACGTCAAAGACATACTTGCCCTCAACTACCACCTTACCGTAAAATTTAAGCATGCCTTTGCTCCAGGATTGTCCTTTATCGAAAGTGGTTGCCGAGCCTTCAGAACACTTCGGCTAGCCATTCAGATGTAAGTCGCCTTCAACTCTACCTACCCGCAGCTATGACGCCCTTCCGTGACTTATGCGTGCAGGAGCTAGCTGGCAGAAGCACTACCGGTGTACTTTTAGCCTGGGCTCCTGGTCCCAGCTTTTGCATCACACCTCTTCAAGCCGGCAGGAAATTCATTATGGTAAAAGCGATGCGGACAAAAGGTGGGGAAAACAGGGAATTCCGATCACATAACCGCGATTCCAAACGGCCGGTAAAAGAGGTCCACTTCCGCTATCAGTTATTAGTTAATGAATAAATAAATAACTGTGACTCCGGTCAACTTGTTTGATTGCAACAAATTTGGAGGAGTAGTAGATGCCGCCTCTTTCGTTCCATTGATTAGGAGGGTGAGTGAGGAGAAGTAGAAGAAACTGCAAAGCCATGTGAATTTCGCATCCATTCTCACGATCTACACCCTATCGGTTGTGCGTGTGTACTTTTTTCTCTCCTCCTTTTTCACTCCTCCACTGTCGGTAGAGAGAGGGCATGATGAGAGGTGGAAACACGTGTGATCCCACGTTGCCCATTGCCATTTCGAAGATCTTATTTGAATGTTTCATTTTTCAGCATCAAGTTCGAACGCTTTTCGTCAGTGGTCTGCCCCTGGACACGAAGTCGCGGGAACTGTACCTTCTATTCCGAGGATTCAAGGTACCGCTTGGTTGGCGGTTACTTTTCCTCCTTTTTGTCGTTTACTAGACTAGAGCCCTGTAAAGAACCGAAAGGGGTGTCGATACCAAATGTTTAGAATGGGGAATTCAGAAAAAGAAAAAAGATTAAGTGTTTATAACGCGTTTTTTGCCCGCGTTGCCATGACGACCGTAGGTGATTGAGTGATAGAGCTGAAGCTGTCTTGACTAAGCGAGTAGTGTCTTTTCTTCAGGGATAATGTGTTTGATCGGTCATGTCAAATATTTTAACCAGAAATTTGCCGCCTTTTATTTATTTATTTCTTTCTGATTTTTGGAGCCACTTCTGGTGAAACTCGTTGTCTAAATTCATGCTCCCACATGACCTCCCATTTAATGAAATTCCCCTCCCCCCAAAAAAAAGGGGGAAGTGAAACCGATTGAGCAGTTTAACGATTGTATATATGTATTTTAATAATCAAGATCGCGTACTTTTTTTTTAAAATTCACTTTTGATGTATTATTCCACATGCCTTCTCCCCAAACACGGCGATGCCTGACCTTTGACAACTGCCCTCAACCAATCCCATTTTGCCCCACTGTTGCGACGTCTCTTGCCAACAACGCCAATGCTTATCATCGGTAACAAAAATAGGGCTACCTATCGTCCACTCTTAAACCCGCCGGCAAGAATGGCAAACTCACTGCGGTAAGACATTTTTTTGACTGTCATTGATGGCGCAAACCACGACATTCTGACAGTAGGCCCATCACCGACGTACGAAGGGGCCCTGACACTAGTAGCTTAGGTGGCATAGCTAGGAGGCATGCCACCAACGTAGAAACCGGGGGATTGGTATATTTAAAGATGCAACCAAAGGAATCGGCACTTTGCAGATTTGGTGATTAATTAAAGCAAACTTTCCTTCCTTCTAGCCAGTGGGATTCGTGACTTTTGAAACGCGAGAACAGGCCGAAAATGCTCTCAACGAGTTACAGGTGAGATGCGCGATAACAGGGTGACACCCATTAGGCAGTTGCCAGCACTGCTCAGGTCGATATATCGATTATTTGTTGTAGCAGCGCGAGGCAAATTTGATTGGACAACCAGTAATGTGCGTGGCCTGTTTGACGCGTCCCATTTGTAGACACTGACTTAATCCATCACTCTACCCAGACCCACACCACCTCCGCAATCACCGTCACAAGCAATCACCCTACACTCCTATACGCGTGTCACGATGCACGAACAAACACTAATTAAAGACACTGTCTATTGGTTAGGTATACTCTTTGGCATGTTGAAATTAAAATTGGTGATTCCAAATTACCACTTGCACCTATTACAAGCACGAACAGAAATACGTAGTTACTCAAATCCGTTTAACAGTAGGACTTCGTTGCCAGTTTTAACCACTCTCTTCATCTTTCCCCTATTTTGCACTGCGATCATTGGAGGGGCAAATTTGAGCGTCACTGCCGATGCACTACAGGGCGGTGTGAGAATTCATCTTAATGGCGGGTTTTGTGGGAGCACATTTACTAACAATGTCTCAACTAAACTAGAAAAGCATTTACAACTCTTCAAAATAAACGTGACAATTAACAATGCACGTTGTTTACAGTGCGCTAAATTCCATCATTATTACACACACGATCGCACTCACGTGGCCGTTGTGAAGTCACTCACATAAACACGTACACACACACACACACATCTACTGGTGACTTGCAGGTAGGGTGTATTTATCAATGCGGCTCTGGTCTCCACTTAAAGGGCATCAAATTCGATCCTGAGGGGAACCAGCACATGCGATTAGAGTTCGCGCGAAGTAATACGAAGGTCACCAAACCCAAGTGGCCCCCAGGTTTCCCATTACCTCCTGGAGCACCCACTGGGTTCCCTTTCATCCCCGCGACAGGCAACCCTGCCAGCCTATCACCCCTTGGTCAGCAGACGGGATTCCCTGGCGTCTTGCCAACTAACTTTCTCCCGCATTTAGCCGGTTGTAAGTCATCCCTATCAGCCCCACCCATTTTGTATGAAAGTGCCACTACGCCAGACAACATTTGGATTATGAAACTAAAAGTTAAGGTTTTCGTGTCGTTGTGTAAGTAGTGTTTTAAATAAATTTTTCAACATAAGGCCAGAGTGCTTATGAACTTGACACAGAATAAGTGGATACTGTAGATCCCAAAAAATAATCAAAACTGATGTTCTCTATGCCACTTATTCTGAAAAGTTGCCTAAAACACTATTGAATAAGCAGCTTTGAACTTGAAAAAGGGGAAATCGGGCGTAAGTCCTTCAAGTTTATTCTTGCTTTCCTCTCAATGATAACACAAAGTGGTGTATTTTGTAGGTTTAATCTGATTACATGGGTGTTTCTAATAGAAAGTTATAAAATAAAGAGTAAACAAAAGAGTACCACTTGTTTTTTAGTTGTCCATTTCTTCTAAAATTCACTCTAATGATAGGCCTTTATGCACCATACCACATATTAGGCAGTTTAATGGATGTCTGGATCTCTTCTCCATTAGGAAAAATTTCAGAGGCTTTTTGCTAGGAAAAAATAAAAATGAGTTAATTTTTTGGTGAAATTTTACCTCTGCAGTGAATAAAAACACGTTCGTGTTTCGCAGTTATTGATTATTTTGAATCAGCAATTAAAAGAAATTGCTACGGCTACGGTTTAAATCTGGTAATTCGGTCTCCGCGTGAAATTCTCACTAGCCCAGCATACAGCGAAATTTCAACGATTTCATCATTTGCTAGTAAAATGGGCAGTTTGTACGTGGAATGCTTAAAAGAAAAACAATTGTTTCTTGTACAGTCGACCCTACAACAATGGCTTTAATCGCCGCACAGGACCCAACACAATGGACGGCCAATCCTCATTTTGGATATGATAGCACAGGACTCTTCACTTCCATAGGTGCTGCTCCTGCCGCCTTCCTTCAGGCCTCAAATTTTCGCGTAAGTTCGCTGTTCCCATGTCAACCGAGTTTTCCTCCTCATCATTGGGGGTTGTGTTGGTAACAGTGATGTAGTGCTCCAGTTATCCCTGAGGATCGGATTTGGCATACCAACATTAAATATTTGTCGCTGACGGACGAATGGACTAGGTGGCTGTAAAAGCTGGTAAATCTTCATATCGTCGAGATGGTGGCTGAAACCGTGGGGACAGAAGAGCCTGTATTGTTATGCAGGGGCTTAAACAAGTGTCGCAGCGTTAAAGTCTTAATCCACAAAAAGATGCCAAGCTCTGGGTCGCTTAATTGAATTTGGAACTGTGGGATCAGTTCAAACCGGTACTTTGAAAAACCGACTTTGTTTGCCCAAATGGCCAAATAACTCCTGCAGCGTTACGTTAAAGTAAAATCCATGCTATCTTATGGACAAGTACTGCGTGATTCTTACCGCCTTATCTATAGTTAGCACTGTGGAATCACCATTTTGATCTTCCCTAGCATTCAGAGTTTTAAAAATGTTTTTTAAAAGACTACTCGTTCATCTATGTAGTTTATTGAGTACTTTACACCCATATTGAGACAGTTTTATTTTGCTAAATTGAGCGATTAGCACCATTCACAAAAAAGGGCTTGAACGGATGAGTATATTTTGAATATAAAAGTAAATAAAAATATTTAATTTTCCTTTTCTTATTTCTATCAGCCGATTCTACCAATGAATGCAGGCGGAACGACACCAGTGAGCCAATCAGGAGCGACTCCAGTAGCCAATCATCTTCAGCTAGTACAAGCTGCTCTTCAAGCAACCAATGCAGCCGCGGCTTTGGGTCTCATGGCCACAGGCGGCAGTAATGGTGGCGGTGCCACTGGAAATCTCCAACAGCAAGCCTCTGGAGCGACTCCCCAAGGCTCCTCACCGACTGGGTCGGTGATTTCATCGGGCACTCACTCGCAAACCGCCTATTCCGCGTTGCAAAATCACCAGCAGCAGCAGCAGCAGCAGCAACAGGTACTATGGGAAAGACTACTTCATTAAGGTGGAAATACGTAGGATTATAAGCAGCTATCACTACAAAAAGTATTCAGCAATTGTGACTGTTAACAAGTTAGAAAACAGGCAGTAACACCATGGCTGTGATGGTACATCATGGTTCATTCAAATGGGAAATGACTTTATCTAACCCTGGGGATCTCATCAACATAAATGAGGGTGAACATCGACAGAGCTTATGTTTGCACATTTTAAGTCGTGTATTTGAGTCAGGATTTTTTTCATTTGCTAACAGTTCCTGGCAGCAAATTCGTCAGTTCAACAGCAGCAACAACAGCAAAGACAACAAGCAGCCTTGGCAGCTGCCGCGGCGTCTGTTGGATTACCGGCTGGGCTCTTGCCTGGAATGCTCAGTGGACTGACAACACCTTCAGGACTGAAGGAGGAACACAATCAAAACGGAACGTCTGTTGCGGTTGGTGGCCCATTAAATCATCAGTAGGAGAGCTGTCATGCATTGATAGTATGCCCCCAACCCTCTATTTTATTGTTTTTTAGATGCCATTTTAAAGATGAAAAGAGGCATAACGAGTCCAACTTTCAAAGACAATCTCGTGATCTGCTTCGATTAGATGGAATATAAGCAAAGATAGAATAAGTAATCATCCACTTCCTGCTTCCCCCACCACCCCTCCTACGCCAACTTTCGTTCTTTCTACGGAGATGCATGTTGATACATTCCAGCTAATCAGAGGCTGTGTTTTCCTCCGTGCCAGTTTGTTCAAACACCAGAACCCACCGTCGCATATCAAGGCTGATTTTTTGCTCTACAAGTAACACTCAAATTCCCTACCTCCTCATCTATTATCCATCTTTACGTATGGTTCTTCAATTTACTGTTAACACAATGCAGCATCTGGTTATTTGAATAAAGAATTTGTAGGAAGAAGTGTGGGGTGTAGCTGTCGCCTGAGATATAGGGGTTGCGATCAAAAAAAGTAATGAATGAGGTCTGCCGCGCCCCGAGAACTCCTTGAGGGTGGAGGAGGGCACACAGTGTGGCTTGGGGCCACTGGCATGACCCGGAGGCCAGACCATCCAGCGGAGGTACAATAACGGAGACCCAAAGTGACCCCTTTACTAAAACTGAGAGCTAAGTAAAAAACTAACGTACTGCATTAGCTTCTCTCCTCCCTTGAGAGGTGCCACTGGCGCTCCCCTTGGTCAGCCATCACAACGTAATCGGTGTTGTAGGTTAAACATTATACGAACCAACCGCTCCAGTCATCAAACTTCTGTGCAAATGAGGAGTTGTTGACTGCAACACCTCTTATCCTTCTAGGCAATTCTGCTTGATTTGCATGGTGGTCGGGGATTGTGCTGGCTACCACGCGTGACCCAAAAGCAGAGCCATAACAAAGGTCGGAGTTTAGCATAGTTCCTTGGGGATAAGATCTTGCGTCTATTCCTCCTTGCCGCGTTATTCTCGTCGCAGAGCTACCCAGCCACGTATCTATCGGGGTTCTATTTAACTACTAGAGAAGTGGAGGAGGTGTCCCATGTTCGCTTTAGTGATATCTCCATACAGGTATGGTAGGCGACTCTGTAACGAATATTTTCCAGACGGTTCACGCCTGGTGTCGCCTCAGCTGTTAACAGTTTTTCTGCAGACAACCGGAATGTGGTAGTTGCTGAAGGTAGACGATATTTTCAGCTCTTTTGTTAGAGTTCGTCACCGATTCTCCCACCTGCCGTACATGCATCTCTTTCGTTCGCTAGAGATTTATCACCAAGCAGCAGGAATCAGGATAGTCGATCTTTAAGACCCAGTTTGCGTTCTGCTACCACCAATGTAGAGCCCTGAAAGTACTGTGAAGATGATTGAAGAAAAAATACTCGGGTAGAGTTGGTGCCGTAGACGCACAGTAGGGATTGGGGCTACTAGCCTGACCCAAAAAAACAGGCCCCTTGGTGTAGATACGGGGTAAAATGCAACGCGTGCTCAAAGCGGTGGAACGTCCTACGAGGTCGCCGCAAGTTCCGGTATAGATGATTGCACTACTCCGTTACTCCTCTGTACCCTCCACAAACTGATGCATCAGGGTTTGACGTAGATGCTAACTATGGGGATAGGATCCAGGTTAGAGAAAGTAGGGAGGGAATAGAGTGGCAGTGCATGTAGAGCAGTTGAATTTCAACGTAGTTGAATTGCATGTTGTGACGGTTTTGGGTGCTTAGGTCTTAGTGGCAAAGCTGAAGGGAGGTGAGTAATAGACGGAGGCGACTCTAGAGTCGGGTAAATTTGCAAAGCTGCTGTCGTAGTCCTCAGGACATCGAATGAGGGGAGAGCGAGCTTGTGAAGTCCAAAGAAGAAAGGTGACTGGTTTCACTGAAGTGATGAAGACGGGTGCGTCACCGAGGCTAATAGACGACTATTTGACACCCTAGGATCCTGCCAACGCTGCTCCCGTAACAGTGTGGTGATAACAGAGGTAAGTGAGAATTATAGTAAGAAGGAGGATGAAGAAGAGCTTGAAAATCTTATCTCCTAAGAAGTGGGTGTCATAGAAGGCGTAACAGATGATATGATCCTCCTCTGACGTGATGAAGTCCAAGAAGTCGTTAAGGATGGCCTCCACCATCAATGTGATAGAATCGGTGTTTACCCCTTCCACCTAGACCTTCAAATCCCTAGAATTTGTTAACTAATTAAGTGAGGACACAGTGATCTATGCAGTATTCGTAAAGATACAAATTATTCCAGGGGAGGAGATGACGATTTTTCGATAGCTAGATTCGTCTGCTGACCGCTTCCCAAATAATGGCTATATTCAAGCAAATGTATTGCATAATTTTTAATAAATTAGCTCGCCAAATATTAGCCTGCAAATTTGGAAATTTTTTTATCTTAACACATTCCTGTAGATGTTGGTTGGGAGAACTGCATAAAATAGGCGACTGAATAATAATAATTCATTTTGCGGCAAAGTTATATAATACTCAAACAAAAAATCAGCATTTAGTCAACCAGGAGAATGCAGATTAGCTGGTTGGTTATTTTGCTTGCATTTAATTGTAGAAAATATCCGATTTCCCAAATTTAATCATAGGTGTTTCACCGTTGTTGTTGCCTGACATTAAAAGGTCTAAAAATTGAGCACAACTAATTTTGCCAAAAAAATGGCAGTTCAAAATTTTTTATCTTGAGTTTTTAGCTGATTCATTTAAGTAAACCAATCTACTCTTCGCGCTTTCAAAAATAGCCGATAGTTTACCCGGTTGTTGTTTTGTGCCCGTCGTTTCTAACCGAAATGGCGGAGTTGGTTAGTGTAGAGGACTTCATAAATGATACACTTAAAGACATTCAGTCCCCCTCACATTCCGAATTCAGTTCCAAGATCTCTTCTATTCGGCAGACTGTATATTACCTGGATGAGGTTTGTAACATTATTTTATGTTTGATTTCTTTACAGGGTCTGAACGCTGACAGAGCTCTTATTGCTAAGTCGCGCAAATTTGTCAAGGGTGTTGTTGGAGCAGGAATAGCCTATGTTGATGCAATCCTAGCACTTTGTGATCACCTTGAGAATCTTGGGCAGTTTGCGCAATTGGACAACAACAATGGAAGTGATTTAACTCCTGGATTTTGGAAATTTTCAGTTATTCACCGTGATCTAGGAAATATGTTTCGGCATTTGGTGAGTATGGTCCGGTGTATTTACGTTGGTGCAGTTTTTTAGTTCAAGTAAATTTGTACTTCTGTAATCGCTTAATGTTTGGGTTTTAGATGCAGAATCTGAATAGCATTTTGGTCTTCCCGATGGAGATATTTCTTCAGGGAGATTTGAAAAGCGATCTCAAAAAACCATTCGACAAGTCTCTGAAGGAATATGAGTACAAGTAGTGAGTTCCTCATATTTTCGCGTTACTTCAAAACTGATTTTCAGCCGATCTATGTCAAACTCTAATGTTCATTTATGAATATTTATGGTGGAAATTGATTTTTCAGCCCTAAATATCACTGTCTAGGCCAATTTTTTGCTCTTCCTAGCTATTTTAAAAGATATACAACCCAACCCCCCCTCATAGATTGCATAACCGCTTTGCAAAATCGGCTTATTTACCATCAGCGTTTCAAAAATATGGCAGAGGCGGTTTTCATTTCGAGAACATAAATCCACTCTAATTTGCGTCATATGATTTGTAGTACAGATGACCATGCAGGAATTCCTTTGGTTACAATTTCCAATCGTATCTCAAGGTGCCTACTGCAAGCCTGCACCAGGCTTCCATGCCCCCTTCGAAAGAAAAGCCGGTCCAGTCGGTCGGCGAGTACTGTTGAAGTAAACATATTCAAGAATTAGCTAAATTGTGACATGTCCGCACGATCATCATGGGCCACCAGTTTTCAATAGTTTTGATAAACAATGAAAAAAATTGATAAGCTGGCCTAGGGCATAGGACTGACACAAAGATTGGCAATGGAGAGTTAGGTAAATTGAATCGAATATGCTGAATGAAATTTTTTGAGCAAATGAATTTTGGTGGATTAGCCAAGCTTCTGCCTGCGACAAAAGCGTTTTAATTCACGTCAAAACTTGGTCCTCAATGTGGGGAGATAAGGTGGCTGTGGTGCATCAACGAGGGAGAGAGGGAAGGCGAAAGAGCCGTGACCGCAAATGGACAGTGGTGCGTGATTCACCCACGATAGCAAGGAGAGCCACTGATTGACCTAGCAGGTCAGCTGCTGACATTGGTCTGACATATTTGGGGAGAAAGGAACGAGAAGAGTAGCAAAATTTTGTGGCGCTCATTAGTTAAGAACCAAGTAGAGGTGGAAATTTCCATGCACTTTTCTATTTGCCCCTGGAATATCAATCTTCCCCTTTTACGAAGACGGTTGCCACACCACTAATTTACTTATTGCAATTTGTCGTTTCCATCAAGAGAATTGTCAGTCGTGGTAAATTCGCTTCGCCTAAATACTCAGCGTAAATCGTCTCTTCGCCTCAGTAGTATTGTGGAATTTTGTAGCTTGACTTGCTGGGGTACCTTCTAGAATCCGTAGCCTTCTTCCCATCGGTACAAATTACTCCCTTCACACGGAAATCAGCTTGTTCTGCTTTATACGGCTTTCCAGCTAGATCTGTGCTCCCTATCTAAAATAGTAATTGAACGTATCATAACCGCTTAAATGATTTATCTAAGAGTTGGAATAGTTGCCTACTTCTGCTCATTATTGGTAAACTTCCTTTGAATTTGGTTGATTTCTACTTTTACTTAATTTTCCACATCATGCAATTCGGACATTTCATTAGTTTCATATCTAGCGTGCCATTTTCATCAACATGGAGTCTGTATTCATGTCCGATAATGCTGAATTTTAGCGATCGGCAAACGAAACTAGGCCTGCTTGGCATTTGTGGATTTTGCGTTGTTATGAAACCGCAAGAATGAAGTTGATTTTGTTCTCCCTCCGCCTGTCTGTGGTTTGCAGCGTTCGTTCAGCATTTTGTGTGCTATCATTGCACATCCTAGTCATCTTAGTGGCATTTCAGAACCTTCACATGGCTACCGGGAAGCCAATTTTGAGATTGCACTTCCTCCCAACCTCTGGAAATTGTTCAATTTGTAGGAGTCAAAAATTGCGCTAACTTCCTCCTCCTAGTGTTTTGGCCTTGCCAGTTGGGCGTCACACTCATGTATGGACACACAGTTCACGTGCCTGGTGGTACCTCGGCGTTCTATGAGTCGCTAACTGAATGCTAAATGGGGAGTCTTTTCGTACGTCGTCAGGACGACTTAGCTCTCAGTTGTGGTTCTCGTTCTTTAAGAATACGCAAATACGAATGCCTCCAAGCGTCACGACACGTGTTCCTACTGGGCGCAAATATACTGTGTACTTGAGGTAAAAATAGGCAGGAGAAGGCGTCAACTCCATGTTTAATGGATTGAGAATCGGATGGAAACAGCCATTTATGTGTGGTGTGCTCATGTTGATAAAGCTGGGAGATCGGGGTCCAATGACACCCATTGGTCTAGATGTGACGTGACACCTCTCACCTAGCCAATCACTGCCGCCGCTTCGCCTATTTGTCCGCACCCACTCACCCCATTAACAAAGGACACAGGTGATTCGCTCCCTTTGTAATGCAGGAGGGGACTAATTTAATCCACTTTGCCATTTTTTAAGATAGCCCACCTCAGGAAACTCGCGTCTTTTAAAGTAAGGAGGAATTTGCAAGCCAAGTCGTTGGAAGAGAGTGCTCAAACATGGAATCAGGCATTGTTTGCATTTTATAAACGTGAAATTCATAGACAGATGAATTTCATCATTTGGATTACCAATGGGAAGCCAGCGAGTTGCGATGTGTCATCTTGTCAAATTGGTCGAGTCTGTGAGTGGTAGCGCCATATTTATGCGTAGAATGTAAACCTCGAGGGGTGCGAGCAAGTCGGCGGGGGGAAGGTAAAGCGACCACTACCAGACCGGAAGTTGTTCATCCTTGGTGTGCAACTCGTAAACCCTGTTCGATTGCATGCTTTGTGAGATATTTTTTTTTATTTAAATGACCACATCTGTTTATCGAGTGGCGCTCATTCTACTTCTTCACATTTCACTAAATAGGTTCGATTGCTCATTCTTAGTTTCATCCGACTAAGTGCTGTTCTTTAAGACTTTATCTTATTTAAATCTGGTCTGCACTCAGACCTAACCATCACGCTGAGCTTAAAATTGTACTAACTGTCGAAATCCGATGACTTTTTAATAGTTCCATCTTGTGAGTTTTGGTAACTTCAGCCATCTGTGGCTGTGGGTCATAGGCGTGATGCCTACCCCGGCGAAGTTGGAAATTGTTAGTCACTTAGAGCAGAGTCGCCTTATGCTGCCACCAGTGTGACGCGTGAGCGTACGAAAGCAGCTCCATAGGACTGAGAGGCTGCTAGCGGATCTCGAGGCCACCGGCATAGTCGACTACTTTCAATTGGTGTGCTAATTCAGAGATGGCTATTTCTTTCCGAGTGTTCTTTCATCCAAATATCCAACCAGCTCCTTCTTGGAACAGTGCGATGCTATTGCTCTTGTTGCGGTAGCACCGCCTAGTCTCTTGAACTTGGATCAGCTTCTAAGGTGCGCAGGATTAGTTGGAAGGAAGGAAGAAGTTGTAATTGGGGGACATATTGCCACCGTGACACTTCACAGTCGCTAGTTGACAGACGGCACTGAGGAGTTTGAGAAATCATAGTGAGGAGTAAAAAAAGGCTTCTTTCATCTTAGTGACAAGTTGAAGAAGGAAAAACTTCAAGCAATGAAGGAGACGGGTTTATACACACCGGAGTCTTTCACGGTGGAGATGGCGGAGAATCTGGAGAAGGAACGTCGACGTCTTCAATTGGAGGTTTGTGAGGTAGGTCACTTCGTTTTCTTACTTTCCTTCTTAACTCCCTCTTGACCTCGAGGTATGCAACTCAAGTCCTTGCATTGCTTCTCTTGATCTCCAATATTTTGACACTTTGTTTTAACTCTTTTCGAAGAAAAATGTGGAACTCGTTGTAGCTAGGTTTGAATTTGGCTCACACAGCTATTGCTGTGAGCACAATGTAGATGGGGATATTCATCTGTAGGCTCTCTTTGGCTGCGGCTATGTTAATGACAAGAGATGTGTGTTCCATTAAGGCAAATGGCACTTTGTTGCCACGGTGCCTAGCCTCGCCAACATTCTCTTATCTTGTTGGCTGACCTTGCCCCCAACCCGTGGTTTGATGTTGTCGCGCAGTCGTTAATACCCTTGCCCGTTCCTTGAGCTTGTTTGTGCTTACAAAAGAAAGCGAATGGCAAACCTTTAAGCCTATTTTGTTTATTTGCTCACCCGGTTAGTACTTCATCAAAGTGAACGAAGTGAAGTCGAAAAAGGGCTCCGATTTTCTGCAACACCTGGTCGACTTTTACCATGCGCACTTACAGTGAGTTTTGGATCGCTTTACTCTTTCCTTATTTAAAAAGCAGAAATTAATCTTATTTTATATTCCTTTTTTTAACATTCCCATCTCATCTGTTTTCCGAGCTTGCATTCATTTCTTTTTCAGCCATCCCATTCTTTTGCTACTTTGCGTCCAAACCTTCTCAAAAGGGATGTAAGCAGCGCGTCATTTTTACTACTCCCTTTTGTTTTTTTTTTCGCTCAGCTATCTGAGAGAGAGCTTAGGGGTGATGGAGCACTTCGGCAAAACCTTGCCTGATTTAGCCAGCAGCATCAGTGGCCTGCAGAAACAGCACGACAGCCAGAAACGCCAACTAGTGGATACGCGAGAGGCCGTAAGAAAACTCATCGAGAAGGAGGTGCGTCGTTGTCGCCTCATTTAGCCTTTTCAGTAGAGAGCTCCCTTTTTTATCCTCTTGGTTCGACATCTTCATTCCCTTTTTACACGTGGGATGCCATATCAACTAGTATCATGTTGGATGATGAATCGGAACCACATCCTTTAAACTGGTTTGCTTTTTTGAAAAAATTATCAGCCTCTCGAATGCCCCTAAACACGTTTAAGCGGGAATATTTTACTTTCAGTCGGTCCAACCGGTGAACAGCGGTTACCTGGGGGCACAGGCCTTGCCGCTGAACCTTGCCTACGGGAAGCGGAAAAGTGGTTTTCTGTTGAAGAAGTCGGACAGCAAGGTGATTGCACATTGAATCCGTTAAAGAGTCGTAGAGCGGGAAGCAATTTGGAAAGGTCAAGGTGGGATAAGCCATTGTGCTGGTTTTGCTATCTTCACAGGTGATAAAGCGGTTGTGGCAGCGACGTCGTGTGTGTGTCGGCGAGAACGGTGAGTTCTGCCTCTATCATGCGGATGAAACGAAACCTCCGGTGCGATTGTCACTGCTGACCTGTCAGCTGAAACTTCCTCCCACTCCAAACACTGATCAATCTTCCACCGTAACGGCTACTACTGCTGCCTCCATCGAGACGGCACCGACGATGATGGAGGCGTCTGATTCCACCGTTTTATCTACCAGCGCCACCGCAGCCACCAACAGTAACAAACGCTCCTTCTTCCTCGTCTCTAGTATGTCCACAGTGTGTGGTAAACTAATTTAATGCGTAATAGGTCATTGACTGTAAATCTGGAAGGTCCAAGAATCTACTTGTTGATGAGTAATTCTAAATTCTAGGGTCCGCTGATTAGTCCGCGGCGTAGCTCGTTTAAATTCTTTGTTTCAAATCCTAATTAAGCCGAGTACTGTGCTAATTTTGGGGGAAATTCAATAAAAAATGGGGTTTTCACCCATTTTTTACCGTCTAGACAATCGAACCTATCAATTCCAGGCTGAAGATGACAAGGATTTTGAGGAGTAAGTTTCACTTCTTTTAGCCAAATGCCTTTCTTCCCCTTTTTTCATTGTCAATGTGTTGGGTCTAACTACTAAGTAACTTGGGCGGTTATTCCTATGTTTCTCTTTTTTTGCCATCGTCAGTATTGCTTTAAAATCACTTCAAGATATCCTTTTGTCTACTTACAAATGCTAAGTAGAATTCGTACGAAGACTTACTTCTTTTGGCAGGTGGACCAACGTATTGTCCAACGCCATGCAAGCGGCATTCAACGAGGCCATGCACCATCCCGATTGGAAATCGAGGAGGGAGATTCCCCAATCCACCCTCTGCGATCTTGACATGTCCAATTCCATGCACCATCATGGCCATCAGCATCATAGTCGTGAGAGCAGTCTTAATGGCAGTGATACCGATCTACTAGAGTTAGTGTTTCCATCTGTCCCGTGGGCCCTTCTTCTCTTGCTTGTATTTGCCAGTTTCAGTCCAGTCTATTTACTGTCTATCCATGCAATAGTGGCGGTAGTAGCATGTCATCCTGGTTGTGTGTGTATGTGTGTGTGTGTCTGATTGTTTGGTTATCTGAGTGCAGGTGAACGCACCTTTTCGTTCAGAGCAAAACCCTTGTCAACTTTTGTTTTCCATCGCCTGCAGATCCCACTTCAGTCACGGAGTGGGTTCGCGTTCCTCACACTCCTCCACAGTTGGTTCGGACGAGGCGGCAACGGTGACGTTTTTTAATGGGCTATCTGGTGCTCAACTGCACCACAGCATTCAGCATGTCATGCGTACCAAAGTGCCTGGCAACCGTGTGTGTGCCGACTGCAATCGACCCGGTGAGCTCGGCAACTTCCCCATTTCCTACTTTTTTAATCTAAGCAAGCCTACCCTTTTACCTCTGGCACATACAGCACCTGCGTTATTATCTCCAGAGCCGGTGGAAGACGTGAAACGTTGAAACCAGCCTTATAATAGGCGCACGGGACGACCTAGGTATTTATAGCATGGGTGACGTGAACAAAACCCCATTCTTATAGTGTGGTGACCGAAGTGGTGTTGGGCAAATTGTTCTTCAACACAAGTATCGGTAGTATTTTGTCCCGTTTCAGTAATCTTCTTTCATTACAACACCAAAGCTTTCATAGATTTAATTTGTATGAAAAAAAAGCTCTTCGCTACCGCCCCTCTTGTTGACCTTAATGCTGGTGCTACTTACATTGACTTTAACATTGGCATTAACAACAGATCCAGAGTGGGTGAGTGTGAACCTGGGCGTGCTGATTTGTCTGGAGTGCTGTGGCACCCATCGCGAGTTGGGTGTGCAGTACTCGCGCACGCAGTCCCTCCTCATGGATGATCTCAGCGCTGCGCAGCTGCTGGTGGGTTCGTTCACACCTCCTCCCGTCTCCTACGCATTTTCCACCCCCCCCCTCTCTCTCTCTCTCAATCCTCCCGTTGTTTCCCTTTCCTTTTGCACGCAGTAATGTAGCGCACTTTGCTTTTGTGTCATTTTGACTCATAAATATCTTGCCTGGATACTACCGGGTGATTTTTTTTCATTTATATATGGTTTTTACGGTTTTTGACTGCGTCTTAGCTGCCCCGATTCATCGGCAACCGGCTCTTTAATGAAGTTTACGAATCTGCCCTAGTCGATGGCGTCAAGCCCACTCCCGATTCAGATAGTGCCAGGTTAGTCCTTCCTACCTTCACATCCTAATTAGCATATCTTAACTTGGCTTACTCACATCCTGTACATATCATTTACTGCATTTTCTCCGACTGCCTTATTCTCCCCAGTGAAGTTTTGAGCGTCTTAGATGTTGACAAACTGTTTACTTTCGCGAAACTCTTGCTGCATCTACTCAACTCCGATTTAAGTAGCAGGTGCACCCTATTTCTCCATCCCTTCTATTCTTCCTAGCCGACGCGCGTACATCCGTTCGAAGTACCTCGAGCACAAATTCACTATGGGTGGCAGCATAATTAACAGACGACATGTGCGACAAGGAAGCTACGGAGACGATGATGACGACCGTCAAGACGATCGGTTTTTGCGTCGCCAATTACTTATTGCAATCCGCAACGCTGATCTCCGCGCTTTGCTTCAGGTGAAAAAAATATTTTTTTTACTAATTTTGACTTGTAATTATTGTTACATTACGTCCTGCTTGCCCATGATTACTCAAGCCAACCACTGGTAACTAACTATTGCTAAAATGAGATAGCGCTGCCTAATTGCGCAGTAAAGAGCTATTCATTCCTCCTTTCCTTCCACGTCATTGTCATTTCAATGAAACCTCGCTTGTCGCAGTGGCTGGCACCTGACCCATGGCTGAGGCTCAGAGCATCATGATTCTATGCAGTTGACTCTTCTCTCAACCTATGAATCTGCTCCCGTTTTTTGTTACCGGGCGTTATGCCGAACTTAACATCGGGCCAGCCGTCAGAAATAGGCGCGGTTCTGATGGCACTGCTGTTTCAACCGTAATTTTGTGATGTGATGTTTGTAAATGAAGAGAAGTAGTGAAAAGCAGAGTAAAGGTAGTTGGCATGCTGACGCCTACCTGTGATTCATAAACAATTGTATGCACTTTGTAATCCCCTACAACTTACAACGCAAAATTTTTTTTTACATGTCTGGATGCTCCCCTAACTGGACTGGAAATAAAGCCTGATAGGCTAGTTGACATGACATTCTGTTCGTTTCTGGAATTGTCGCTAGAAATGCGCAATCTTTGCGAAGACAACTTATCAAAAACTTTGCCCTCTTCGAATATCTCCACATTTTTGGTTTGGAGATGTGGTCCCACTGAATGCATGGGCAGCTTGTCGGTGTGACTTTCGTCGGAAGATCCTAGCCCAATTGGGTTGGAAGATTGAGCGATTGATCAGTCACTTACGCTTCTCTGCTTTTCTCGAAGGTCCATGCGGAGGGCGTTGATTTGACAGCACCGCTGGATGTCGATTGCGAAGCCGATGTTGGAGGAGCGGAGAAGGAGTTGGTAGAAGGCGATACGACACTCCACGTGGCGATTGCGTCAGCGGCGACAAGTACAAAATCCTGCGAGGCCTCTTCGTCTAACACTTCCCTCGCTTTCGTGCAGTTCATCCTGCAGAACGCGCCTTCATCAGCGTAAGTTTTCGATTCACTTTTTTCCCTGTCTACTTAGCCTATCCTTTATGTCTGTCTCTACAATCGCTGTAGGTACTCTAGGAAGTGAATAAATGCTTCTCTTCTGTCTCTTCTCCAATAGAGTCATTCTCCAACGCGCCAACGCGGCAGGTGAGACAGCTCTTCACTACGCCGCAAAGTTTGCTCTCCCCGACTTTCTTCGGCTGCTCCTCGGCGCCGGTGTCAGCGGCAGTGGTGGTGTCGGTTGGGGCGCTCTTCCAACTACGGTGTGTTAGCAGTTTTTTGAGCTGAATGTTTAACTAGTTGGTTGGGTGTAGTCACCACCTATTGATTTGCCTATATCACATTTTTTTCAGATGCTCACCGCAGTCAACAAGTTGAAGCAGACCCCGTTGGACGTCATTGAGGCGCGTCTGTCAACATCATCTTCGTCCATCAACGCTGAGGTGGAGGCGTTGCGTCGGTGCGAGCACCTCCTTCAGTTGGCGATGGATGCTTCCACTGCAGCCACTGACACTGCGTCTGGCGTCGATTGTGCGCCTCCAGCTTTTCTGACTTCCACTTCGCCGGCGTCTATGACAACGAGGGAACTAGCAGCGCGGAAACGGCTCTTGGAGGCATTGGATGATCTTGAAAGCGTGAGGTGGGACGCTTTTGATTCTCGTCCTCTCTCGGTCACCTCTGCGGCCGTTAATACTTTTCTGAAGCAAGGTGACTCGTTTCAAGATGAGGATGCGACGGATGAGGAGGATGGGCTAACCAGAGCCTTTCGTGAAACTCTGGCAGGAGCTTTCAAAGTGAGTGATGATGATTTAAGCCAGACCCAGTATATGAATGATGGATGGACGTTTTGTTGTATTCATCTCTTTTTTAAGCTCTCCGATTCATCCTTCTCCCGATCACCACCGCTCACATTCTCGTCGCGAGGTAAGGAAACAGCCTGTCTGTACACTGGTTGGCTCTGACGCCCTCGCTCTCTTCCTCTCTCTCCCTCTCTGTTCTTTCCCACAGACCAGTGGCGCATGGATAACGGCAACAGTAGCTGCCGTCGCCCCAACCACCGATTGTCCAAACGCGCAGATACCTCGGCTGCTGCTTTGGCTACCCTGCCACGTAAGAAGGGGCCCGCGCCCCAGCCCCCTCTTGTCGAGGTTAGCGATTTTCCGCGCTATGTGCTCAACTCCACTTCACATTTTAGTAGACACATGGATGCATAACAATGCATAAGTGCAAAGCACTTTTTGGTAGGGTAGCTATCTGTAATTTTATGCTCGGAAAAGTACCTTCCTTCGTCCCCATTCATGCTCCGTTCATCTTACATCTATTTTTATGTCGCTTCTTCAACAAATCATTCACCTACCAAACCAGATTTCCGTCCCTCAATCTGCTCTTGTATGTTGGACCCAGCTGCCTGGTTCAAAGGAATATTTAGGAACCGAAATGAGTTAACGAAACACAGTACACACATCCCCGCAATCCATTCAGTGCAGCCGGTCACTGGGAGAAAACTGCGCTGTCAGTTGCCCTTCATCGCCATCGTACGATTCTTCTCTTTACCCCCAGCAGAATGCCTGCTTCTCCTTCTCCGATACACGGTCCTCGCGAACCCTTGCGTCGCCGTTGCGTGCGCCTTCATCCCCACTTGCCTCGGACCACATCGAGGTGTTGCTGGACGTGTTGGAGGAGCATCCTGGTACCGGTGTGGAATCATCTCCTCCTCCACTTCCTCCCACTTCCACTGCTGCAGCCCCTCCCATCGCAGTTGCCAGCGCTACTGCTGACAGCGGTGGAGGAAAAAGCGTCACCAATGAGCCTCCAGCTGCGTTGCGGCATCAACGTGCTGTTGCACTTTACGACTGCGATGCGGAGAACCCCGATGAACTGACCTTCAGACGATCTGAAGTTATTGTGGTGGTAAAAGATGTGGAGGTCAACTGGTGGGTAGGTCACAATACAAGATACGGGCTCTGCCTACTTCTCCTTTTCTTTTATTATTTCTATTGATACAAAAAGGCACATCTACTCATAGCTGCCTTCTTTCCCTACCCTACCTAGTTGGGCTACATTGAGGGGCAGCCCAGTCGAAATGGCCTCTTTCCGTTGACTCACGTCAAGCTTTTACCATCTTGAGGAGAGTGCGGGCATTGGAAATTCCCTCTATCAACCAATCCCACCCCCAATCAATCATTCACAGTGTATCAAGTCGATTGTTCCTCCGTTTCTCTCGTTTTTTCCTCTTTTGTGTGTAGGTGTACATTGGATATTGACGCTGAATTTTATCAACTTTTTTTCTGCCTCCTTGCCCATCTCCCCTCTCACCCGGCTGATGCACATTTGAGTTGCCCTCCTATGCTACAGTCTTGTGCAAGAGAACATAATAAATGCCTCCATCGCCTTATTTCCTACCCATCTCAGCATGGATGAAGTTGGGATGGAGGGCTGGGGGATTATACTGTGCTTTGTGGTCGGCTCATCACCTTTTTCCCTTGCTGAAGAGGGAGCGGCACCGTCGTCGTCCACATCCACTGCCAACCGCTCAGGCGTAGCATCTCACGGGGGGGGGGGGTGTTTGTGAAGAGAGAAGGAAAGTTCAATTTATTTGACTTGATAGATTGCTATTCGTGATGTTTTACTTTTTACTTTGAGCCTTTGCCATAAAATCTCCCCCAGTTTGATACTCTTTTCATAGTTTTGCTGGATACCACCTATGGCTATGGAGTGTATTTAAATAGCCAGTTGATATTGCAAAATTGAGCTTGCGAAGTTGCATTGAATCTTTACATCTAATTTGATAAGGTGGAAATAAAGAAGCTGGAAGATTTTTGGGGGACTTGGCAAGTAAAAATCTTGAGTTTCACTTGTATGAAAGTTTACTATCCACAGTTGTTGTTAATAAGGCCGAAATTTTGACAGTCACCGAGGTAAGGAATAGGGTAATCCGGTCGACTCTTCACTTGGCAATTTTGAAAGAATGCTTTATCGTATGGGAGGATGTCGGAGGTAAAATGAAGGGAAAGAATCCTGAAACGCCTGCCTACAGGAATCTGACCGAGTGCGAGTTGCTTGTAAGCTACGATAAAGTTCCGCATCTTTAAGAAATTTTACAAGAACGGATTGGAGGTTTTTCATCGGATTAGACGGTCGACTTGAGGAGTGAATTGGACTTCTCTCTACCGCCATTGATGAGGAGCAGAAGGTGATTGGGTGGAGTACAAAAGGTGCTGCGTACGTGACCTCGGCGGAACCGCTTCTGGTGCATGCAAGGTGTTTCACATTGATGCCTAAGCAATCGGTTGTGGTGTGTCTAGGCCCCGTATTTATTTGAGATCTTCGTAGTATCCACGACGCAGCCAGGTTTCGTGACATTTCCTTCACACAAATTCAACCTTGAGACCGGTCTCACATTCAGTACTTCACCCCTTGGCGCTCAGCCTCTATGTCCATGGGCGTGGGTGCATGCGAATTGACGGCTTAGCAGCCAGGAATGATGCCATAGACGATGACATGACGCCATTGCGTAGTCAGAATAGTACCCTACGGGTCCTGGGAATCAATTTCAACCTTTGATTAGCGCTTCTGTGTTCTACCTCTCTCATTCTCTCACGCTACACGTTGCGGTGACCCTGTCTTCGCAATGAAGTTTCGTGGATGTTTGAGGTCATATTCTGACCGACGTGTGCTATGCATCAGCATTGACGTGTTCACATATCTAAACTGAGGACATTCATGAAGCAACGGCGCACCACCTCGTCTCATCACTTGATTCCTCCGCATGGCGAAGGTGCTCCAGCCAAACTCTTGACGCTGAAGTCGATGTTGTTGAAGGTATAGACCTGTCGCAGTGTCAGGTCCTACTGCCAAGATCCGAAAGTGGTGAGACAAGTAAGGTGAGAAAGGCACGAGGGTGTAAGAGGTGCAAAGACTACTTTAACGAAGCAGTGCTGAAGTGAATCCCTTCTAGACTGTGGAAGCCGACTGTAAAAACTGCCTGTTCAAGGTGGTGCTACGCTGGAAACGGCCCCACCTTCAGAATCTTGCTGCTAGTTCTTCAACTGTTTTTTTAAATCCCCTTCTCTACTGTCGTGCAGGAAATTTGGCGCATCACCATAGAGAAAAGAGAAAAACTGGTCGTTTTGCCAGATGAGAACGAACCATCTCTCCCCTCTTCTCCAACAACCCGTCTACCTGTCTGTCTGTGTGCGGATATCTGTGGGTCCCACTTAACTTGCCTTATTCCGATGGCTGATCAACAAACGCACCCCTGAAGAGGTCTGGAGTGGTGGTTAATTTCTCTCACCTTTCTCTCGTTCCTTCAAGGAAGTCTAACCGACTGTCTTTGTAAAATTTACTGAAAAAAATGCGGGTGGAAATTAAAGTTGGCGATTCATGGTTTAAATTGTGCAACCTCGACGTCGTCCACTGGGGTGATTCATTACAATCCTCAGGAATTGTGTCACCAATTGGATTGGTCAGTTTGAAGGGCACATTTTCCTTCAAGTTGATTGGTGGAGTTCAGGGTGCAGCATTTCGGGGGCTAAAATCTGACAGCTCGGAAATGGTGTCACCATCTGCCTCGCCCTCCTTACATCACCGTCTCATCCCAATAAAGTAGGTGTTTGTAACGCCTCATCATCAAGTCAATTTGGCAAGAAGACTTGGTCTACGCATGCCGTAAGTACATGGAAAGCGGTTTCTTGGGGTTTTGAATGCATTTTACCCCGCCTCCATCTCCACTGTATCACGTGGGAGAGCGTGTGATCAGGCCACATACATAAAGCACTTTCCATCTGCTACCCAGATTTCCACTAGGAGAATGCTAAGACACTAATGGGTGCGCGGACTGTGGGCTCATGTGCCACGAAGGTGGCATCCAACCATCATCGTTCAGGTGTCACGAGGAAAACCCCGAGATACTTTCCCGCTGTTCTCCGTTGACCACATTCTAAAAGTTGGACAAATTAACTTTCCGCTTCGTTGACTTTTGTAATGCATGAACTTGCACCTTCGTGGTTTGCTTCCAGACGATCATTTGATGGCTCTGGAGAGCCACCATAATGATCAAGACAGGTGGCAGCACTTAAATGTGGCGAAGGGAGATTTCAGAGCACCTCACTGGCCAAATTTCTTTCGTCAATAGTGACAATCCAACGTGAAAATAAACTTGAACCCGATAAGGTGAGAGAGATGGCGCAGGCACAAAGGATAATGAGGAAGAAGCAATGAGAAGACTCTCACATTGCTGGAACTCAGCCACTAGCCCTTGACAGAGTGCGGATGACCCTAAAAAATCAGCTCAAACATCAGTGACCCTCGCTATGAATGAATGCAAGTGATCCCGAGGCCACTGCGCCTCTGCACCGACTGGACATGTGTCTCTTCCTCTGATACTCACGCTCACCTTCGTCACCTTGGCGCTTAGCAAAGTACCTGCGCGCCGCCTCCAGGAGGGTACTGCACCTCTGAAAATGTCTAGCAAGAAATGAATTTTCGATAAAGAATGGAAGAATCTCAGTTCCATGTGTTGTTGGGGAATTGACTCATCAGCCATTCCCAGAGGGATAAAAGAGCCCAGTCACAATCATGACCGGCTTTAACCTCTATGTAACCGTCCAATCAGATGACATTTCAGGGTTAAAAGCACCCCAATCAAAAGCGTTGCCGGTCATGAGGAAAGTAAACTTCTTCATGCTGTCCAATCCGAACCACGCGCCGCCTCCACGATGTCGACACGACATGGCGCAGACTGGGGAGTGAAACAGAGCAAGTAGTCACGACTGCAGCTAACTGTAAATTCGTTGGTCGACTTGGCAGTTGCCATCTGCCTGACCAACCAATCCTCTCTCCCTTCGTCCTCATCGCCTTTCTACCACAAAGGTGTCCTCGAAGTCTCCGTTGAGATCAAAAGCAGCACGACGCGGTTTTGCCTTTCAATCTGACCTCAGTGCCATAAGGAAAGCCCCCAGCACTCACCAAACACCGGCCCGGTTTCAGAAAGAACTGTCAGTGTCAGAATTTGCACCTTTTGTAAAATTTTGTTCGAGTAAAGTAGAAGGGGGTGAGGAGAAGGGTGAAAAGACGGGAGGATAGGAGTAAGGGCTGTTCAGAAGCAATCCACGTCACTAGAAGTAAGAAAGTAATAAGAGGTCGAGGCGGCTATGAAGATGATGATGGTGGTGGTGGTAACGGTGGGGAGACAAATGGACAGAGTGCTGTAGGTGCTGGTAGAGTGGACCAATCAAAAAAACGCATCAATTCAGAGGAAGCGAGGAGAGGGAGAGGAAGAGATTGTGCTTCTGTGCCGCAGCGACTCAAAAAAGGACGCTCCGATCTCTTGACATCACGCGTGTTATCACGATCCATCGAAAACTAAGAAGAAGACGCAAAAAAAAGAAACAACGTGGTGAAGGAATTACGTTGAATTTGAAGGGAGAGGAAATATAAACTAACTGGCTTGGTAATGCGTCAAACTAACAACGCCACCTACCCTTGAGAGCGTCTTGTGCATAGAATCGGACGTCAAAGTCCTTCTCCTCCTCCAGCACCTTCTTCAACGCCGGGATTACCTGCTTTTGGGTCGCTCTGCAAGGGGAAATATGGAAAATCACGCAGCCTGGTGACTAGTCACGGGACAAGTAAAGTAAATGTGGTCAAGGCAATCTCCCTTGGTCATAGGCACATAAACACCATCCAAATCGTCTCTTCAATCATCTTTGCTAAGTCGTGGAGTCAAAATCCTTCGAGTTGTGAAAAAAAAGATGAAGGCGCCAAGTTGACAGGTGGATTGGTGTGAAACAAGGGCGGCATTCATATCACCCTCGTGACACGCTTGCAATCCGAAAATTGTGAAAAAAAAAAAACACTAAGAAACATCTATTCAGATGTAGTAAGCGGGGCTGACTGCTCACTAGTTGCGGGATTCTCCATGCAGGAGACGCGTTGTACCTCGTCTTCGAAGGATATCAAACGTAGCTATTGAGGTGAATGCTGAGTAGCAATGGAGGTGGTCTTGGTAGCAGCGTGACTCACTTGGCGTCAAGACTGGCGGAAATGATGACAAGAGCGCGGGCGGCTGCGAAACGGACGTTAGGCACAGGATCGGCAGTGAGCAGTTGCAGCAGCAGTTGGAGGCAGGTCTGCAGTCCAGCTGCCGGCAAACCAGCTGGAGGGGGCGCACACTTATCCGGTGTCTTCCCTTGTTGCTGTTGCGGCTGCCGCTGCTGACGATGATGGTGGAGTGCAAAATCGTAGAGCAGGGCGGGAGATATGAGACCCACATTAGGAGAAAGATCACCCAGTGCGCTGTAGGACGGCTCCTCCGGAATCCCTGGTCCCCAAAGCGCCTGCACGCCAGGGTAGGAGAATGCAAAGCAGTGATACTGATGGCTTATTAGCAACCTTCACACACACGTAAACTAAGCAGCCAACGAACGCAATCTCAAACCCTCCTCTGGATGGCGAGAAGAGGCAATGACTGACGTACTGTTACCAATGTCGCCACTTAATTTAGTAATAAGTAGGCCTCTGTTGGTCAAGGAGGACGCAACCCGGTACCTGGACGGCGAGAATGAAGATCTGACGCAAATGGTAGTTTGAATCGGAGGCCAGGGCACGTAGACCCCTAGCAGCCGCATTGGCGGTCAAAGTGGCGATCGATATTGCACCTCCGACGCCGACGCCGGCCCCAGTGTTCCCAGCATCGCCCGAAGCGTCAGCCGACGTCAAGGCAGAAGCTGAGGTCACAGAGCCCACAATGCTGGAGGAGATGGTCGCAGAGGGAGGAGAGGAGGTGACGCCAGTGCCAACGTCTTTATCTCCACCGCCACCGCCAGTACCCATGATGGCATCGGTGGCGGCGGAGGGACAGACGCTGAGGAGACGGGCGAGGCTTCGGCACGCACAATCGCGCACCGCCCAGGTGGGATCGAGGAGCCAGGCCAGAGTGGATGGGAGAATGGTCTCCCGGAGGCAACTCTCCGGCTAGACGGGTAAACGGGCGAGACACAAATGCTCGAATAAAATGGCACACCCTAAGAGGGATGCTGACACGCACATAACCGAAGACTCGAGGAAACCAAATTCGAAGCATCGAATTTTAGGTGATAGATTTTGATTGAAAAGCAACTTCATTAATAAGTGACTGAGAACAGTCCCGACACTTGAGAAACAATCCCTAACAATAAGAATTTCAGAAAATGCCAATACTGGAAGAGTTTCCATGACTGCCAAATTCTTGGAAGAAAATGGCAACAATGAAAGCAACTTGATTACTTTCGATTAGTAACCGCCTACTTATAAACGAGATAGCGACTCCCAGGAAGAAGCGCTCCCACGTACTGGACTGAGACGGAGGAGCTAAGAAAAGAAGGAGGTGATGGGCCTCTTGAGGTCATCCGGTGAAAGAGGAGCATTTCTACCGCTCCTTTGGAAATAGACATTCCATGTTCACGAAGGAGATGACAAAATATTATTTAAGCTATCAAAGGAGAAGGCCTTTATTCATGAAAGAAAATGACTTCCAATAGCGGAAGGAGCTAAAAACATTGACAAACGAATTTGGAAAAAACATCGTCTTTGGAGAAACGAAGAATTCTGGTACTTAAAACGGTTTCATGCCAAATAACTTCAAGACACTGACCTCTCAACATTTGATATGATTGAAATGACGATCCCTTCTCGGAAAATGAGGAAGAATTTCCCCAAATATTTTTTTGTATTAATATAGACTTCAAAAACGAGGATTTAGGATTCTCAATCCTTTGACAACGGACTTTCAGGATTGGAATGAAAAGCATCCCCTCGTTCAACGCCAACCGACAGCAGGACGAAACGAGACCTACCAGGGTGGCGAAGAGATAGGGAAGGGATTGCACCACGCCAAGTCGAACACGCCAGTTCTTCCCCTGCCACAAATTCACTAGACTCGGCAGGATGGTGAGTTGGATCTCGCTGGAGGGGATAAAGGACATCAGCTGGGAGAAGTACTCGAAAACATACTGTTTCGGCTGCAAGGGAAAAGAAATTGTACAATCTCAATCGTCTTTGCCTTGTGCAACATTGTTATCAAATCAACTATCCAGTTAGCTGGCTGAGAAGGTGACTGGATGTGGAGTGGCAACCCACCTGGTCCAGGTTGTGATTGAGAAAGGCGAGAATGGGTCGAACAAGGGGTAAACAGTCCTCCACCCGCGCGGAAGGCAGAAGCCCTACGGCACAGCATACAAGCTCGGAGCGAACTCGCTCCTCCCGCTCCATATTGAGGTGTTCTTGCAATCGCGGCAGCAGAAAGTCCGTCTGCACATCCTTCGGCGAGGCGAGGCAAAAATCTGCAAAGGAAGGCATTCATCGCCCTACTGGAATAGCTTCAACTCTCCTTCGTCCACTACATTTGTTCCACATCAAACCCTGTAATTTCCATACGTCATCCCACCCAGGCGTCGGTCTATTAACTGTTCCAGATCCCTCCATGCATATCTCCGGGGCAACCATTAACATTTATAATTACTTCCAATTTTCCCCTCTCTCTCCAGTCGCCGACTCATGGCAAGTGTTGCAACATCACTAACGAGAACTTTTGCATAATCCCTTACCAATCTTCTACACCGATACTTCGAGCCTTCACCGTTGAAAGAGAACAAAATTAACGACGTCATGTACGCATTAGAGGTTGGGAACAAACACGTAATGAGCACTTGGTGCATAAGATAACGCCATTTCACACGTAATCCTTTTCAAATGAACATGTGAAGGTGATGAGGAATTTGCTTGCGGACCGGTTAACACTCCTATCTGTGGGTTATCCTGTTTACAGCGCATGTGAAATTGAATGTAACTTTCGTGAAAGGGGAGAAATGAGCAGATATTAGGGGAGAAAATTCTGCCCCCCGGGAGATTTCATGACAAAACGGCATTGAAGATTACCGTGTTCTAACACTCCTCCAGTAATCCAGTCGGTTTTGCTAAAATGAGTTTGCTGACTGCTGGAAATAATAAGGAAGTAAAGAACTGAAAGCAGACGTCGTGGCACGTGCCTAACGCTGAAACACCTACCTTAACCTCGACACCTCCCTCCGTCTACACAACACATACCTTTGAATTGACTAGCTGCAATTCGTCTCGTTTCCACCTCGTTGTCTTCCAGCAAATTCATCATCATCGTATGGAGCGATTTACTGCTTCCACCCCTGGAAATAGCAATTTTTTGCAACTCCGCCATATTACTGGCCAATGCGCGTCGAGTGTCCCTAAAAAATAAATACACAAATCACAAAACAATTAAAGCATGAGAAGTGTACCCATAATTGGCCAAGCGTCAACGGCCAAAGGGGGCGCGGACTGGGCAGCACCCCGCTTTATTTGACTGGTTATATGGGTGTGAAGGTTTCAACGCACACTTTACCCTCCTACCTCGAACCATCTTCATTAAGTTTGTCCAAAGAGGCCTGAACCATCGTCTCGTATTCCGTAGTCTCGTTGTTGTTAAGCATTTTTCCCAACTCCAGGATTGGTTCGACACAGGCAGCCCGAACAATCCGCTGACTGTCTCCAACCAGGCTACAATCAAAATAAGTTAGAAATTTTAGGAGCACAATAGCCCTCCTCTCGATTATTTTATACATCTAGCAAAAAATGGCCTAACTACACCTAAATCTGTACCGATTTCGTTTTTCATGCATCTACTCGCAATTTAGCCCCCACTAGCATTCCATTCACTGCCCAACTGTCCAAACGTCCGTACCAAGACAAAACCGCCCGGAGGATTCACGAACAGTAAAAGTGTGATCATGCCAAGTATGAAGAAAGTCATACTCACTAAGTAAATAAAAATTGCCACAACTCCTTGACTAGATCCATTCAAGAACAGAATCCAATCAACAAACAACTCAATGTCATATACGCGTGCTTCCAGGCACTAAAAAATATCCACCTGCTAGAGAGGCACCCAAGTAGGCATCTGCGTGGGGTGAAAATAACTTGATTATGAGTAGATGCAACATACCCCGCCAGGAGCGGTGATAACTCAGCCTTGAACTCGTTTCCAATGAGATGTGCCAAAGTAACGAGCTGATAGATGGCAGCCGACCGAACTAGCGGCACCTCGTCCTCGTTGTCCGCAAGGTGAATAAGGCGGCTGCGAATAGAAAATGAATAAAGGAAGCCAGTCCATCCAGGTATATAACTGCAATAGCATTACATATGTGAGACGTAGATCCGTGACATATTTAATGCTGAAAAAAACACAATCCTTCTGAAAAAAGTGCATTTAAACTCACTAAGAACATTTGACAAGTGGTGCTATGACACTCATATCTGTAATCCCTCAAGGAAAAGGGTTGCACATGGAAACGAATTCCAGCAGCTCCCATGCTTTCCGCTGAAACCTCTTTCCACCAGGGATTTAACTGTCAACTTAGAGGACTTTGAGACGCGGACTACGACTCATCCAGCGAATGCGAGACACAAGCATCAATGCCAAGTCATCAAGGGACAAACCCCCACCATGTGTCCTGATTCTCGCGGTGTATGGATTCGCACTTTCGAGGTTCGCCTCCAGATGGCCAATGTGAAGACCGGAACGCCAAAATGGCAAAAGTGTGATGGGAATGCAAGAATCCGTAAATAGGCATAAATCGAGGAAAAAAGGCACCATGACAAGAAGAAGTTAAGGAGTGGTGAGTTTTGGTGTTCTGTTAACCCGGTCTGTCGAATCGTGTTTGCCGAGTGCCGAAATCCAAAATTAGCGGAGGTGCGAATGCGGTCTCCATGTTGACGGAAACGGTACGTGAGGAAAAGAAAGCAAGGAGTCCAAAAGCATGATGCGTGCTCAAGGATTGTGATACGAGAAATCAGATGAGCAAGGTGGATGAGGCCGTTTTTTGAAAAAATAGAACAGTAACAGCACGGCACTCACCATTTTAATTCCGACTGCACTTTCGCAGGAACGAGGGGATAGCAGGTGGTCATCACTTTGCTCACGACTTTTCGCGAAGCACAGAAGAGATCCTCTGGCGGGCAAAGGGCAGGAAAATAAAATTACAATTTTGAAATAAGCAGCATGCACACAGACGCAGACGCGAAAAGAAATTCAAGATCTGCATAAATTATTGGAAAACATGCTTTCTCCAACCGCTCCAGAAAGCCACAAATTGCTCAAAAACGGAGGTAGGCTTTGAATGTGTTATTTCATTTTACTTTAATTTGAGCCAAATGCCAAATTCAACGAACTCACCTTCGTGAAGCTTTCGAATTAAGGGGAGGGCCTTTTTGTCAATTTGTTCAGCAGAGAGGTGAGGTAAAATGGCGCAAAATGCGTCAGCAGCAGCTTGGACTACAACGATCTCTTCGACAAAGACTAAAATGTCCGAAATGATGGGCTAAAATTTAGCGTATATCCGACTCGACTTACAATTAGGGAGCTTGCACCCTCGCCATCACTACCCAACACATCTGCTAGATCCGGCAGTTTTTGAGCAATCACCATGAGAACCTCGTCATCCCCCGCACCAATAGCTTTCTGTACAAGATCTAGTAGAAGGACAATTTCAGTCACATGGAAACTCAGCTTCACTTACCACCCAGCATTGGGACTAGGGTTTTCTGACATTCTTCAACTCCCAAGTTTTTCGCGATTGTCGGCAATGATTGAAAAACACGCAGCTTTTCCTACGCCAATGCACATAAAGCTAAACATACGGCTGTTTCCAGCGTTTCATTATCAAAAGCGGTGGGACGAGGGTCAGATTGTTCCGCTGAGGTGCTTTCAAACTTCAACGTAGAAAGCGTTTGGAGGACAGCTTCAACAACAGACATACTGAAGGAAGTTAAATGAGAAAAAATAAATATGCACTTCGAATAATACGTTGGGCAATAACAGCAAGAAATTTACCCAAGATGGATTGGAACCGTCGAGCGCGCTACTTAAGTTGGCTCACTGTAAAGATGAGCACTTATTGCTGTCCAATGAAAAAACCAAATTTCCTGCTTTATCTAGTCATTAACTAACATCAATGAATACCGACAGCTAAAATTAAGAAAATTTAAAATTGAAAGGAGTTGATTTAGCAAAATACTCAAAGGCAACACATGCTTTTGAAGAGTTATCAATGCATCTTGCGACATCAACTTTAACTGCAAATGTAAAAGTTTTTTTATTCTGAGAGAATGAATAAACAAACTTAGTTGCAACGTCGCGGCACATTTCCTATGGGTCGCGGCCGCTGCTAAAATCCTCAATTTCATTTTAGCAACAAATATAGCTTAACTGAAAAAAATATGCTTAAATTCCCATCAACTTCCTTAATTTATATCGCATCACTTCAGCGTATAACACCTATTAACGTTCTCAGCACTGAATCAAAACCGCGTGCGAAAATTCCGACTGGATACTTACTTCATCAGTATATATTGATGTGGTCATCTAAATAAATATACTCCTCTTTAATTTCTAGTCATTATTTTAAAAATTTTGTAAATTGCAGGCATTAAAATGCTGGGCTGTGCCCTTGTTTTTTAAAATCTGATAATTAGCATCACAGCTTCGAACGATTTTAACGCGATGGGCATGCTGGGGGAGTAAAGCCATGGCATTAAGCCTAAAATTTATGCAACCTTACAACACACGAAGCAGTTTGAGAAGCTAAGTGATGTTTAACCTTTCATTGTGATAGTACCACTTATTTTCTTGCACTACTACTCTGTGATCCATGTCGACTAATAAAAGTCGTAAGACTGTGTCGCTGTCCTACACTGCAAATAGGAGTAGACATAATTAGTAAGTTTCTGTTGGAAGCTCTATTGATGATTTAGACAGGAAGTTTATAGTAAACCACACAATTTCTATTACGTCCTGCAGATGTGTCTTCATATGTTTTTGCAGTGAAATAGGCATCATTGGACTGCTAATAATAATGTCACTTGTGCAAAAAATTACAAAATTTAAAATGCGCTATGATTTCTAGGTTGTTAAAAAATTATATTATTTAGTTTTAAAAGGTTATTTTGGATCCGCCTGCTTCGCGTTGTATCACGCTTTAATCGCCTCTGCCGTATTAGTTCGTTTGTCCTTCTCGTATCCTCTATCACATGGGTACGTTGGATCACGTTCCTATTTCATCAATTCCTAGCTCTCCAGTCGGAAACCTTGAAGAAGATTTTGCTGTTCGGTACACCAGTTTTGATAGCATCGGTTGCCGGCCTCTACTATTACTATGTCTACTCAGCCCCGAGAAAAGGTAAGTTTTGCCATACGTTGTTCCGCCACAGTGTAATCTGGTCATTCCTCCCACTTCCTTACATTATCAGTGTCATTTCACGGCAGAACTTTATCCAGTTTCTTATGCGGGTCGTGTTTGCGTTTCCGCAGGTAGAACTCGAGAACTTGTCGACGTGGCCGTTACAAAATGCGTCACCTTTTTCGAAGGGATATCAAGATTAGTTGTTAATCAATATGGGAGTGTAGGTAGAGTGAATCGAACTAGGGTCGAAGGGGTCGCTGTTGGATAATGGTCTACTAAAATATTATGAATCAATTCTCCTCCATCTTGCACCCTCTCAAACCTTCATTTATCAGCCCATTCCTAGGCTAACTGAATTCAGCGTCCGGTTGCACAGCATTTTCCGTTTCACTCAATTTACTGCTAAGCCATTAGTCCGTTACTACCCGTTTAACTTCCTTTTCTTCAGTTCATCTCGGCTCTCATTCGTTTCGGGATTCACTGGTTTTCATCTCCATCGATTCATGGGGCATCCACGCGTAAATTTTAGCATATATAAATTGTGTGATTTGTTTACCTGCTCGCCCTTTGGTCTGGCAATGATTTCGTCAATGCACTTATTTACGCATTCATCAACTAGATCCAATTCTCCACCTACTCTTCGGTTAGATATTTCTGTTAACTTCTGTGCCGCTATGCAATGATCTGTAATGTATGAATATGGATGCTGTTTTCAGCCAGACTGGAAAAAGTCGAAATAGGGGTGAGAGGGTCTTGCTTTTGACCGTGACTCTGCTTCACTGTGTCTGGATGCCTGAAAGTAATTAAAACACATTTTCACCATCATCAATGGTAACTTATTCCCCTTCTTCGATATCCCTGTAGGGCTTCATAGCGAAGAGGAGGCAGCGTCACCAAGCTCCGAAGAGACGCCTTTGGAGGCAGCTATCGCTCTGAAAAATCGGGGCAATCGCAACTTTAAAGCAGGGCGCTATGAAAAAGCAGTGGAATGTTACACAGAAGCACTGGAGCAGTGTCCACCCACTGCAGTGGAGGAACGGGCGACCTTTTTCCAGAACCGCGCAGCGGCTCGCGAGAATCTACGCCAGTTAGAGGCGGCGGTGGAGGATTGCAATGCGGCACTGGAACTCGCGCCCACCTACCTGAAGGCACTGAATCGACGCGCGCGCCTTTACGAACGGCTCAATGACTTGTCTCGGTGGCTCTTCGACGTCACTGCGTGCTGTTTGCTAGAACGCTTCCAGAACAGTGTAAGTGCTGCTACTACTCATTGTGTCATTTTTGGGGTATGTACAGTAAACGGCTCCTTTATGGAAGTTTTCTGAACCGCGCACAGCCGCCATAATATTAGGTCTTGACCATGGGAGCGGTGTGAAACCTCTCCTTCGGTCAAGCACCCTCTTCTTTCTCTCTGTTTATCCCCATCCACTTCTCACCAGCAAAGAACTTGAGCAAGTGAGTTGGGCTGAGATGAAGGGAGTGATTTCTTACCAAGGTCAAGCAGTTTGATCGACAGTGGCATTTCCAGGAGTTGGGCGCCTTAGGAGATGCGTGTTCTTTGAGGTAGAAGGAGATTTTCCAATATGGTTGTTGCTTTGGAGGCAACTGCACAAAGGAGCAGTGAAACATTGTTGAGGTTGCGTACATGTGAGGCTAGAAAGGGATCGAGGGGCACTTTCTTCTCATTATTTGAAATGATAGTATCGGGATGCCAAAAGCTCTGAACATAGCAGATGACGGGAATTGCAACTGCACCTGGTACCTAACATCAGAAATCGACTGGATCGAAGGGAATGGAGGGTGTATTGAGTTGCTTCTTGCGGCGATTGAGAGGTGAGAGTTGGTGTAAGGTAGGAGATAAAGACGTGTTCGGGAGCCTTCGTTGTACGTGGGACTATGGTGCACAAGTCCAAATTGGAGTGTTGCGACAGGGAGAAAGGCAACGTGAAGGGGTGTATTGGTTGATGTGGAAAAATTGAGGAGAGTGGAGTGGGTGGTCAATATGGCGCCGTCGAGAATGACGCAGATGCCAACAGAAGCCTGGCAGTGGCGTCTGGTAGTTCACCGATCGGGCCAATTTATGGTGCCGGAGAGCATTGGAAGTCTGCAAACGTTGGAATGAAGGAAGGCAACGCTGTGTTCTAAAAGTATTGCTATTAGTACTACTTACATTCGCCTTTTCGGGAACTCCGTGCTTAGAGGTGAGTGTAAATGGCGGTGATTGCACAATGACCCTTTTAAACACACCTTAGGTGTGTGCATATCTGACTCCAATTGTTTTTTTATGATCAATGACTACTCTTTGGTTCTTTAAAAATCCCTTTTTGTGATACAAGATGATGCAAAGTGATTTCTCTACCCGACTGTGTGAAAAATGGAGCGCCTCTGTTTCCTTATTTTGCACAAGGAACATTTCGAAAGCTGTTTCCTTTGTTAGTTCCCTTACCGGCTCTTCTTTTCATTGTAGACGTCTCATTCTGACCCCTACAAGGGAAATCTTATCACTTTATCCACTGTAGCTGCAGGTTGCAGAAATTTTGGATCTTCCTTTAGCACAAAACTATCTTCGATTATGAGTGGAAGTTTGTTCTTCGGTTTTGGACCATTCGTAGGTTATCACATTTCCAGCATTCTTTCGTACGATCGTCTCTGTCTTACGTCATGGCATTCCAGATCCCTTATGTGGGCATCTGGAATCGGATCTTAAAAGTGGAAGTTTGCGTGGTGTACTTCTGGAGGGTAAGAAGTTGGTCCAACCACCATGTCACGCGCTCAGTCGTCGTCGTCATCGTTGTTTTCCCTAGTTTTCTGTACTTTTTCCTCCTGCTTGTGCACTTCAGGTGTACTTCATTCCCCTTTTTCTTATTCACACCACCTTGACTTTCGCTTGCAGGAAAATGTCCTGTGTATGGATCGCGTTCTCAAGCAGATTGGCCAAAAGCTGGCCAAAGAGGAGCCCCCAAAGCTGCCACGAACTCTGCCCTCTCCCGATTTCATCAAATTCTACTTCAGGTGAATAAATGGTTAACTGAAGTTAAGGCTGCTGTGGTTTTGGTTGATTTTGAATGGTTGACTTCTTTTGTACAACAGCTCTTGGGCCTATAATCCGTTCACCTTGGAAGCAATGACGATTGGAAAGAAGCCCTCAGCCAATGCGGAGCAAGCAACAAATGGACTTGATGAAGCTGTGGAGGAGGAGAAGTCTGAGAAAGCTGAGGAAGTTTTCAATCTGCCCCGGAAGTTAGCCTCGGCCTACGAGCAGTTAGAAAAGGCGTTCGAAAAACTCCACGCCGGTGAATATGAGGCGTCTTGGGAGTTAGTGGAGACTGCTGTGAAGGATTTCAATTCGGTAGGCGTTTGTCCTGCATATCCTGCCAGGACTGTCACAACTACTTACATTAGTGTCCCAAATCATAGCTGAAGGCTTGTTAGTCTTAAATATGACTAATTTTTAAGCCAAAATACTCTTTACCACCTAGAAATGGTGTTATGATGTCAAAGTGTTGGTATAATTTCGCTCTCGCCCCCATTTTTCCCAGAAGCTCCTTAAGTATCTTCTCATAGGTATGAAATTTGGGCAGAGCTTTCGAACAATTTGGAAGGGGGTTTATATTTGCTATGTAGAAGGGCTGGAAGACCGTGGAAACTGAGGGCTCAGTGTACATGGATGCATCATTTGAGCGCCATCGTCATTGATGCCTCTGGTTGCCCACGAACGAGTATTTCTTTATAAACCACCCACTTTTTAGCTTTTACAACTCCATTTATCAATACTGGATGCTCTCCTTCCCCTATTTGAAGATTTGGAGCCAAATCCTTTTTCGAATGCCATTTAAATATGTGTTCAGCGTTTTTCCACGACTGTTTACCAGCGTGGATGCGGATTCACATTCATCGCCCTATTGAAATCTCTCTCAGAGGTAATTTAAGTCGGTATCTGCATTTCCAGGCGGCGACTGTTGATTTGCACGCATTTGAAAAGTCGAGATTCGGTGATCGGGAGAAACCCGAGTCCGCCCGCGCAAGGGCTCTCCTCCTGGATACCACATTTAAAGCACTTTCGGGAGATGCAGAGGAGGCAAAATCGCGATTTCTCTCCATCGGCGAAACCCTCTTTGCCCACCCCACCATTCGGGTGAATGCGCTAATCAAAGCCGGCGCACTTTACATGACCATTGATAAGGTAGTTGGTAAAAGTACACTCCTCCTCCCCCCCTCCTCCCCTCCCTCCTCCTCCCCCTCCTTTTTATCTTGCCCGTGGCAATTATGGTTGATGCCTTTCCTGTGCACTGTAGGACCTCTCCGGGTGCATGTACTGCTTCCAACAGGCTCAAACACTCAGTCCTGACTGTCCGGACGTCTATCTTCATCGCGGACAAATTAATCTTCTCGCGGAAAATCTAGACGCCGCTGAAAAAGACCTCTGCGAGGCTGTTCGCTTGAGACCCGACTTCTCCGTCGCCCAGGCATGTGGTCTTTTTTTCCCCTTTTTTATTGACATTACTCCTTGTAGGCGCAGTGGCTGTATCTACTTTACCGAAAGAGTGAGAGTGATGGAAAAAGTCAACGAGTGGAGGAGCTTGTAAAGCAGTTTCAAAAGTTGGTCGAGAAGTTCCCCAATTGCGTGGAGACCCACTCCCTTTACGCCCAGGTGACTTACATATTTGCCACCATGTGGTTATGTCTACTGAAATAAATTTAAGTAGCAATCACTGTTTTGTTTATAGATTCTAACGGAAAGAGGAGAGTTTCAGAAGAGCGATGAGGAGTTCGCCCGTATTATTGAACTCTCTCCAAATTCGGGTTTGGCGTACTCGCATCGGGGTCTTTTGCAATTGCGTTGGAAGCAGGATCAGGATGCGGCGGATGAGTGGTTCAGACGGGCAATCGATGTGGATCCACGGTGCGAGTTGGCATGGGAATTGCGTGGCCAGTTGGCAATGGAAAGAGGGGAATTGGAGAAAGCCGAGGGGTACTTCCAACGTGCTTTGGATGAGGCTCGCACATCCCAAGACCGAGGCCATTTGTTCGCACTTCGTGAGGGTGTCAGGGCTCAGATCCATGCTGCCAAAGTATACGGCATCTCAATTGCCAGTCTCTTTGCCGATTTGAAGGGCGATTTTCAACAGAAAATTGCTGCAGCTGGGGGACTCCCTGTGTCTGTTTAGTGTCTTCCCCACACTCTCTTAGAACGCAAAACCTAGTTTTCACCCTTATCCATCATTTGTACTCCTAAAAAAGGTATTTGACGTGAATGGAATGTACCCTGTGTTGTTTGTGCTTAAAAAAGAATTTTGCTACTTTAATCTTCGTGAGTGATTTTTTTAGATTCTTGGAAGTTTTGGCCCCAATACAATTGGTAGTAATACTCGGTCTTTTGGGTTGTACCTGCGGCGAACGCGTTCTCCATCTGGTATGATGTTGATTATTCACCAGTTTCTTTAACCCTTCAGGCACATTTAAAAAAGTGTCTTTCTTCAGATGGATGGCGCCCTGCATTTACTTCGCTGTCCTAAACTCAACCAATTGTCGGCTGCCTGAGGACACGTGTCACATATCTGTGACTTAAGGCTCAGATGAGGGACCTAAGGTGGCTCATGTGACACCCCGGTATCTAAATTGGTTTGATAGATTTAATGTGTACTGCAGATTGATGCGGGACTGCCATCATCCTCCAATTTTCGTGAGAGACAGGGAGAGCTTCCGACATTTCGGCATCAATAGAATCGAGAAAGCGCATTTGGTAACTCCACTGATCATCATTTAATATTATTCTAAAAGAAATGGGTTGTTTAACTTGTAAAAAAAAACAGGCGATAGCCAAATTTATGACGCACCGTCCGTGAGTCATCTCGCCATCACGGCTGCCCTTACTGGAGGAATGACTAACTCCCCCCGCTTGATTGGCCAGTTCACCTGGTACATGTGTACCGCGTAAGGGCATCAAAAACAGTAGTGAGGGCCATCTCTATCCAAAATTTGAATTTCTTATACTTTTTTTCAAAAGAATTAAAAGACAAATGCTTTTTTCCCTTCTTCCAATTCGTAATACTCGCTTTTCTAACCAATGTGTTTGATTTGGGAGGCGAAAGAGGCCGCGTTAGATAATAGTGACTGACCCCAACAACTGACAATTTAGAGTTGAGGATAAGAAATTTTTTATTTAGCACATTTGCACCAGGGTAACAATTTCCAACTGTGAGATGCGCCCTCCCAACTGGTGCGGCCTACGCTAACATCTCGCCCTGCACGAATATCCTCTTCCCCCAATAAAATCAAAGCTGGCGCGCTTATTTTCTGGGTGTTGATTGGTCTAGTGGCTTTGGAAAAAACGCACCATTGGGTAAGCCCCCATTTGGAGCTGGAATTTTTGCTGAGGGCGGCTACTTGGGTGAATGGGCGCGCGAAGAACATTTCCGTTCACTTAAACAACCGCAATGTTGCCTGTTCCTTCAGGTGATGAGCGATGGCTAAGAGTTAAATGTCTAGACAAATGCAGAAGCAGGGCCGATATCATGACCTCGGAGAAATTCCTTCGGGAACGAAAGGGTTTGGGTTAAGCCCCCACACATGGAACGATGCAGCCTCTTTAGATGATAGTTAAAACCTTATTAACGTTCGTGGAACATACTTGACGCAAAATTAGGTTTGTGACAGAACAGGATGAATAGACTGGAGATGAGTGAAAATTGTCAGGCAACTAGATCATGGCCATCATGACGCTGGTAGTGGAGTCGTCGAGAGGGGCTAAGCCATCCACGCTATATTGACATCGGCACGGGTACAGGTCATAACTACGTGATGAAAACCGTCTTTTTACCAGAGCCATTTTACTTAACCATGTTATTCAAGGGCTGAATACAAAATTGTCTTACCTAGTGGCGCTAATCAATTTCATCATGGAGGTGATACCAGGCGGTGGTGTTTAAAATCGGAGCCACGCACATTTCAAGACCCATATAAGACAACTACTTACAAGAAAAACATTTCATCGGATTTTGTTTTATCTGAGTTTTATTAAGGTAATTTTTTGCTATTTATATATCTACTAACGCTTAGTTATAATGTGAAATTAGATGAGAGAGACAATTAGGTAGGCCCGAAGGGCTGCACCGACCGCACAACGCAATGCACGGCACTTCCGCATTAACCAATCAAAAAGCTGCCTCACTGACCAATCAAGTAGGTCGAGGTGTTTCGTTGTAGCTGTCAACGTCGGCTACTTTTATTCACTTTTTTTCACCTTTGTGATGATTTAGCACACTCCTTCTTCCATGATCACCTTCTCCATGATTAAATGCTCAACTCAGCCAATAGGAGAGGCCCATTTTGCGGCAAACCTGCAGCGCGGTGTTGTTGGTGTTGGGTTAACCTGGTTTACCGCCTTAGGTAGGTGGGGGTAGCTACTTTGTTTTCCACCAAAATAAATGTCACAACTTATTTACACTAGGATGGCGCAGTGTAATCCTGACCAGATAAGGCGTAATTGACTGTTTGTCCTCAGGTAACCGAAAAGATGCGGGTCACAGGATTGGTAGACTCAAGAGCCAGGTGGTGATACACCTGCTGTTCCGATTTGTTTTGTCGCCTCACCTCTGGTTTACCGCGATGGTTGATTATAATGCCCCTTAAAAAGTGGATTGCACGCTATGTCAGAAAAGTCGTAGTAAGTACTTCAAGCGCGTTCGGTGGGGCATTTTTCTCACAACCTTCCAGAGGTGTAATGGATTGCTTTTGTTTACGGGCGCCCATTGAGTGGAAGTGACTGCAGGCGAAATGAGTCCAGGAGGAGGCGAATGGAAAGGAGAGCCGTGTTAACCCAGCAAAGTAGTTTCGGAACCACCGTCCCCCCCACAACAACAGTTTGTTGTAAGGCTGCTGACGGCGGAAGCGCCAAGCCAGCTAGATACAAGGTCTAGACGACCCATGCCCCCCGCCCCAGCTACGCATCCAAGGCGTAGAACCGCCTCGTGCGACAAGAACACACCACAAGGCGGTCTCCAAAGCTCTCGCCCACGAAACCGCACCCTCCCTCCCCGGAATGAGTCGACCAATCCCCTGGCAGACGAACACCCCAGCCCCGGTTACTCCACACATAGCCGTCGCCAAGCCACCACCCTCAGCAAGGCACGCCCCCTATGTACGGGCCGAGAAAGTAGAGTACGGGAAGAACAGCAATGATATTAGGACCATGAAGACAACACGATGCACGCCCCCAGCACCCTCAGCAGTGGAGGAACCACGGAAGGGCGGGGAGGCGATGCACGTCACGCGGGGAACGCTGGCACACCGCTCCATAAATGCTTTGCAATACAAATTGTGAGTATAGAAATCGGCGACAGGTACATGCAGTGCAATGATTTGAAAACGGGACACTTGACGTTTCTTTCCAAGGGGGGGGGAGGAGAAGGAAGGGGGGAGCTGTCAAAGACAAACTGTACAAACATGCCCATGAGTGAATATAAACGCGCTACATATCTTGAGGGTTTTTGACATCGTTCGAGTGTATTACAAAACGTCAGATTAACGCATTTCGCGCATTAATTGTCCTCCGTAGCAGCAACCTTTGCCTCGCTGACGCCAACGGCATCGGAGTCATCGGCAGGTCGCTTCTGAGCTCGTCGCGAATCCGTGACACCAGAACCCGACAAGTTCGCGACCTCCTCTTCCACATTTTCGCCCTCGCCCTCTTCATCCTCGTCTTCTTCGTCATCTTCCTCGTCGTCCTCTGCATCCTCGTCTCCATTACCTCGAAAAGCAAAAACCCAGTTATGGGCAAGTAGAAGAAAAACTCACATAAAAATAAACTTACCAGGCACGTAGTCTTCCTCGTCATCCTCAAGATCTTTGCTACCCTGAAGAGCAGAAATCCCAATTTCCTCTTCCTCATCCTCCTCATCTTCATCCTCACCTTGATCATCCTCCTCATCGTCCTCGTCATCGGCCTCTTCGTTAGCAGTAGGAATTATATGCCCATTCTTAGGCCCATTGACAACCTCACCAGTAACTTTCTCATTCACCTCCTCGACGCCGCTTTGATCCAAACCGTCAAGGAACTTCAAATGCGGTAGGAGAGCGAAGACCTCCTTCCGGTAACCCTCCACGCTCACCAACTCGCAGTCGCTCATCTCAAGATGAGACAGACTTTCCAACGAGGCAAGAGGGGCCAAATCGGCAATGGCCGCCAACTTATTGCCGGAAAGATTAACAGAAACCAGTCTGGGGCAGTTTGTCAGAGCCTCAAGACCTGCAGAAATTGGATTACCTGAAACATCCAGCTAGAGTAGAAATTGGGGGATAGTAAAGGGGCCATACATGTGTCAGAGCCGGCAGAGCGGGGAGGCCAGCAAGGGTTGTCAAACCAACGTTAGACATGTTGAGTTTCTCCAAACACGTGTACTCATCAGTTAAGCCTTCAACCTCGGTGGCAGAACACCCTTCCAAATTGAGCTCTTTGATCTAGAACTCGGTTCCAAATGGAAGAAAAAGCTTACCTCGCCAAGTTTACGGTCTTCCCTTTCGGCTTCTATGCGCTGAACCATAGTGAGAACAGACATCCTGCAACGTAAGACCACCGCGCGAAAACGCTTTCGAAGTTAGGAATGTTCGAAATTGGCAGGAAGCGCAAGTCGACTACACATTAAAACAAATTAAACAAAATACCCCGTATTTAAAAAATTATTTATTTACTAAAAAAGCCCAAGTAAAAGCACTATAAAAAAGCTAATAAAAAAAGGATATATATTCAAAGACATTTAGTGTAATCACATTTTAATGACCGTCATAATCACTAGATTATTTGCAGCCAGAAAGCGACGCCTTCGGCCTAGTTAAAAAAAAGGCAAAAATTTAAAAGGGATGCAATAGCAAATTGCATTATTTTATTTAGGTGATAGAAACCGAAGTTGTGATTACTTATTCTCTACTGCAGCGAAATAATTTAATACCAACCATGATAGGGTCCATCAGAGCCTAAAGGCCAAGTTTAGCTGGATCTAGACCCATGTGATTAAAGGTAATTTTTAATAGAATTCGGCTCTCTACGTGCATTTTGCCTGGTAAAAATGCACTGTGCAGTATATTTCTCCAAGCATATTATCATTTACCTAAGTCGTTATTTTGCTATAATTTGGTGCTTTAGGTCTTGTACAAATTTCTGCAGAATAAAAAGCTTGTGCAAAAGCGATCATATGACCGGCTCAACGAAACGATTTCCGTCTAGTAGCGCAAGCTTCTCTCCTCCCTATAATGTGGAACTGAAACCCGACAGGATTAAAGTCTTTCGCGTAAAATTGCCTAATTATTCCAAAGAATAAATTACAATTTCTAATTTTTAACTATCCGTAGTAATGCGAATCGCTTATGTATTTCTAATAAATTACTTTTCCGTGATAACTTTATTAACACTATGTTAAACACCTGCTTTTAACGGTTATTTTGGAAGTATAGTAATGTTACGCTAATTTTTTTGACAGAAAAATTTCTGATTTGAGTTTTTTCATTTACCGGTTTGTTTGAAATATTTATTTGCGTGGAGCAGGTAAATGGGCGGTATTATCGTGTACAATGGAACGCTACTAATTACCGAGGTAGGCCGAGCACTTATCTCGCTAAGGCAAAACTTTGGCTATCAGTGCATCTCCTACTCTACACAATAAAACATTCTTCTTCAACCAATCTCTTCCATTTAAGCGTCTGAGGTCAGAGGCAAAAGAGAAAAAATATCATTGTTTACACCACCCTTTATTTTGGTTAAAGACAATAACTTTTTGAAAAATAGTTATAATGGCTGACTTGCTGGATATTCCCTAATTGAATTCTTTCCTTTTTGCAGCAAATACAGTTGTGGATTTATTTCCTTTTTTGTGCAAAAAAGGTTACTCTAGTGGTAATCGGTCATTTTAGGCCTATCATTGCTTTGGTTTTAGTTGTTTCTAGATTAGAGTTTTGTTCTTAGCTGCAGGTGTGGGATCAGCAGCATAATCGCATATATCAGAATCGCTGTAGCGATGTGGATGACTATAATTCGAGGCTTGAGTACAACCCCTTTCGATGTTTTAAGGTCCAACATTTGGCTGAGTCCACACTGGGAATGTTTGTGGCGACAACATGACTCTGAGGTGGTTGGTCAAATCACCTAAATTTGTGCAATGCCTAACACCACAGTGTCGCACAGGGATGTTCCCGAAATTTCACTCCTTCTCTATAAATTTTTACAGATTGACGGGATTGCTGGCATCCTCGATCAGATGGGCGAATTCCTCTGTGGCTTCAATTGATTGAAGACGCTTGGGTACCGATACTTTTATTCATGCTTCTGCCTTTCGTGCAGTCAAATGCACACAATTGTCAATCGCAAGCGCAAGTAGCACTCCTGCCTAACTGCGCCTCCTTCTGGAATGCTCTGCGCTTACAATCTTCAGTAGGTAGAGGTGAGGTCAGGTTGAATAGGATTGGGGATAAGGAACACATCGTGTGGGCTGCTAAGCTTCACAAATCGCACTACTTAAATGGATTTTGTGCAAAAGCCATGCACAGCTTCTGGAAACCTTGTGAATATCACTGCTAAGCCGCGGTCACTGGTATAAAAAACGATCTATGGACTTCATTTTCCCGACTTTTAAATTGGGGAAATGAAGGTCTGCAATGGTTACTGATTTCAAGGAATAAAGTTTAGTGGCTCCATCTCCAAGACATAATTGAGGTGTATCCGGGATTTCGTTACAACATCTGCGTACTTATATTGACCTTCCTTTGCAGGACACTGCTTCCGTGGGTCAGGGGACAAATGATCTTGCGGAACCCGCAGTGCCTATGCGGTGGAACAATTCGAGGAACTTAACTACTTATCTGCAGCAGTTTGAGATGGACAGACAGACTGCCAGCATGCGCAAGGGTCTTAGTGCCGCGGTCTTGGGGCGAGTAAAAGTTCAGGCAACTAATACAACACTTGGCCGACCGTTGAGTTGCCTTAGCTGGGTATTTCACCATCGGCTTACGCGTTCGAGCACAGCCACTATCAGCTAAACTAAGGCGTCCAGAGGTGCAAAAAGCAGGATGGTCGCCTATTCCTAACACTGCTTTAATGCCTGCTGCTGAGATAACTCTGATCACGATTCAGTGGTGATCTCCAAGTTAGCCGACAAAGCATTCTAACAAATGAGGCGGGAAATGTGGCCATAGGGTCCTGGAATCCTATTCATCTCTCAATTCAAGCAAACCATAGAATTATTGTAAAATATTTTCTGCCTAGTTTTTGGGTAGACTTGTTGGAGATAAGGTGATAACCGTCACAAGTCCAGGGAATCTCATCATCGTCTTTGAGAGAGTTACACAAGCTGATGTCTGCTTGGTTTTAAGCGCGTCCTTCTCCATCGCCTCCCCAACAATTTTGCACAGGCCAGACGGAGTAGTGGGGGAACTTTCAATTCAGCTATCATGACCTTGGTCTTTATCTCGACGGATGGGTTGGATGCCTGCTTCTTATTGAAAATCCGTCGTAGGTATGCTGATAAAAAACGTCCAGAAGGAAGAACTTGGGACGGGATCGAAATCAACAATGAGTTAGACTTTCCAACATCCACAGCGAGTTCAGGGTGTTCAAAATACTTGAAACTTGAAAATCGGTGGATGGGGCAGAAACTCCCCAAACCACATGAACTAAAGCTGTTTCATCGTTCAATGCAGCAGGGAAGGGTAGTGAACTACCCCAAAGGAGCAGTGAAAGAAATCAGACATATTGGTTGTGGTAATGACTCTACATTTCATTTAGCAGGATAGCAAACTCGACAAGCCTCTTAGCCTCTGCAGATCGAACTTGAGCTCTAAAGCATGGCCCTCGTGTCCCGAATTTTTCGGTGCGTTAGCATTGCACTATTTTTTCCATACCGCTTTGGCTTATTACATCTTCTGGGAAGATTGTGGAGGCTACACAATTATCAGAATAGCACAGGATGACAAAAAACAAACTCAAGCAACTTTGCAATAGTAATAGCTAAGAGAGATAAAGTTTATTCACGAGTTCATTAAGACGAAACGGTCTAAAAAGGATTCGAAATAGCCATTTTTGGATAGGTTTTAAAGAATATGATGCAGTGTAGTGCGTCGATCGTTTGTTCAGCTCTTGATTTTGGTTAAGGGTTGCTTTGAGTACATGAAATTGTGCCTTCACTGGATGCCAGTAGCCCAAACCTTTTCTGTATGCCTAGGTATAATGTCTTCTTTCGATTTTGACAAAGTTTCACCTTGAATCTTCTCCGAAAACACAATTAGATTTGCTGAAGCGCCGGAAGAATTGCTATTTACTTAAAGAGGTACATGAAGGCTACAGGCATGGCCCAAAGGTTATGCCACAGGGCTGTGTTGTAAAGCTTCCGAACATGAGTCAAAGGGCAAACTTAGGTGAACACTCCTTTCCTTCACTTTTCCATACTCTAAAAAAACCCATAAAAGTTTTGACGGGAATTATAATGCATTTATAACTAATTATTTCTACAAAATGGCATGCTCACCCTAGTGTCAAAAAATTTCACGTGTTTTTATTAAAGACATTCGTTTTTGATTTTGATTTAATGATTTGAGGTCTTAAGTTTTAAATAAGGTTTTACTGCATTTAATTTTTTGGATTAGTGTTTTAACTATTTAATTAAGGGGAACACAATTAATCTAGGGTCACGCGTGTGTATTAACTTCTGGGATTTTAATAACTTTTGACTTATAGGGTATCTGTTGTTTTATGCCATTTACTGACGTACTTTTGTTAAAATTATTTTTCCCTTGGATGAGGTACGTAGTTTAAAAGCATGATACTTATTCACCAGCCAATAAGTACTTATATGCCATGATTTGGTTTATCTGGATACTCTAATTAATTTAAGGATTTAGAACATGCGAAGGTGAACAGTGCATGCTTTATTCGATAGGGAGTAAATAAGAATTATTATTGTATAATCTTTTTTCTGAATTCAATTGCTCTGCCTATATCCATATATTTCTCCTGATTTTAGTAGGTAAGAAAAAATACATCGAACTACAATGCATTCCGGAGATACACCAAGGCGTCATCTTCTTCGTCAAGAGGAGCAGCAAGAGGAGAGTCCTGCCCCCTCCAGCAGTAACCCACAGAGACAGGAAGTTGAAGGAGTATTGGAATTGCAATCCAATTTTACTACCAACGCCACAGATAATCATCGACCTCAAACAATGACTTCAGGCAGTTCTACGACCACATCAGCTACTAATACAACCACTTCTTCTTCCTCTTCTTCGTCTACCTCCACATATAAAACCTGTGGAATTCGACTGAAGCATAGTCGGGTTGCCCCCCTTGGTGGAGGTTCGACTACCTCATCTTCCACTGAGGACTCGGAGGCCAGAGAGCGGCGCTTTGGGTCTATCGATTTGCAACACCCTCTGCCGTTGAATACTGCGACTAGTGGGGCGACAGGACAAGAAATGGTTAAGAGGCAGTTGACAATTGATGCACATTTGAAGCAGGCATTGCTTGCGGATTTCAGTAAGTTGAAGATGTGGTTATTGCGAGTTTACTACCCCTGTCAAGTATATGTGACTCAAAGCCCTTCTTGAGGCATTGTAGAAGGCAGCTTAAGATACCTCATTAGATAGGAGCTGCTTTTTACTAGTATGCGTAAATGCTGGGATTTTATATGTGTGGGCGAATGTCCATGTTACTGCTGCCTAGTTTGTAGCGTCGCATGGTTAAATCTCGTCTCAGTGTACGTATTCTTAAAGAATTACAAATGATTCCATTGCCAACTTATTTGTAAATTTGTCATGTTTAGCATCGTTAAAAATGACTGCTTTCGATTTTGAATCTCAGTGTCGTCATTGGTATCATATCTTCTCCTGGTGTCCTCAAATGTAAATTTTGGAGGTATCCTGAAGGGGTCCGATGTTTGTCGATGTCCTTAACAATTGGAAGGTGTTTGAAATAAAGGTACGATGCGAAATCTTTTTACTGGAGTAAAGCACCCGTCAAATGAATCCGAAGAAAGGTCTTGATTTTGAAGTGGAAGCAATGGACTAAATAGATTTGCTTCCGTGATGGTTGAAGAGTGACTACAGGGAGTGTCGGGAATGATGCTAGTAACATGATGTAGGCAGTGTGGCAGCGAAATGGTTGTAATTAGCTTAAACTGATCCCCAACTTATGCATGATTATGTTCCCTTTTCCCCTGATTGTATCTTTTTTTGCTTCCATTGTTTAAGTTCCTGTTGCCTCTGGTACTGAGTGTCACTTACGTCGTTGCTGTTGTTACTCTATAAGATTGGCTTGCTCGTTTGCTGAGCGTTTAAGTGAAGGAGACTGCGTTACTATTCGGAACCCCGAAATCTTTCAAAAATAGTGCAAATTTAGCCGATAGCCGCTTTAGCCAAATACACGGAAGATCGTGCCTGTCGTAGCACCTGCCATAGCAGTTCCTTCAAACTTGTGCGTAATTTTCCAAATTCGATGGCGATTCCATTAATTGCTTCGCCTTCGTTCTCAGCTTCTATGCATCAACAGTGAAAAGGACGAAAGATCGTGCCTCCATGTTGGATTATCTAGTGTCCGCTTTCAAAAGTGAGGCAGCCGAAACCATTTGGTGTCACACAGTCTTCGAGAAGGATGGCAGAACTCCGCTTTTGAGAACTTTATGTCGATTGCAGGAAATTCATTGACAAATGGATGTATGGGTCAAACAATGGCATGAAGCTTTGCTTCTTAGCACTGAGTCGGCTCGATCATCAGTCGAATCCAGAGATCTGCTGGATTTTAACATAATTAGTTTTAAAATAAGTGCTTTGCGAGGGCTTATTCCATCATAAAAATAGAAAACTTTCATAATTGGTTTAGCTTACACTTCACGGCTTAAGGCCAACGCCAGTGACCAGCTGGACTCTTAAAAAGCTACAGCTATTCCGAGCTCTAGTATCTACATGATATCTATTCTATCAACGCCGAATTAACATTCAAGTTCGCGAGGAGGATACCCATCAAACGTTATTCTTACTTTAACAACTCCTACTGCCTTGACGAATGCCCCACCTTTTAAGAGGTGACTGTATCGAATAAGTCCGGGGGGTCGTGGAAGGCTCAAACCTATGCTACCCTTGCTCGAAGCCGAATTGCGGAGTGAAGGACCACCGCTCGCGTCACTGTTGCGGGGGACACCACCATCAGTGAATCACCAAATCCCCTGAAGAAATTGTAGCAGTGCGACACCTTTCTGCGTATGAAATCCCACCTACTCGAAGGAAGCCCTTTGTGATCCTGCCGGTTTTCATTTGTCATTAATTCGGTGAGATAGTTGCCAACGCCTTAACAATCATACAAGAACTTTCAAATCAGAAACATGTGTTACCCGCAGGTAGTAGGGACAACCCAACAAATATCGCATCCCATCCCCCCATTCTCTCCCACTTGGCGTTTCGTCGTTCCATGGCTCACTTTTTCACCATATACATGCTGAGTGGCCTGTGTATTGTGCGGATGCTTTCACCGCAGATGTTGACACTTCCAACTCGGCACTCAGATTATGACACCATTTGCAGAAAATCGGTCTGGACTATCTCTGATCACCTTTGGGGCAGAGGAACGGTTAAACTTTGTGGATGCATCTTCACTTGCCTGTCTATGAGTGCAGTGGAATTAAAGGTACCCCATGCCTTAGATACTGATTCATTCTTGTCGGTACTTTCGAGATTCTTCACAAGGTGTGGATGTCTTTGAATTGCTTTAGCAAATACATAACCTGCTTTTGCGGTACTGAAGGACTAATTAAACAATACCTATGAGTGGGAGACTTGGACAGAACAACCAAGGCGCTCTTCATACCACCGTTCACTGACAAAACCATCAGATGACTTAGTTGACGACAATCATGTCTAAGGGCGTGGGGGGCGTACATCTGATGGGGCGGTAGCAACATGCACGTTACCTAGCGGATACCGTCTGGGGCTTTTGGTTGAAGGGGTACTTCCTCGAGTTGTAGAGAAATGTCCAAGTGGACTAAAGAGCACTTGAAAGCTGCTGAACATTTCGCAAGGATTACCCGATTGGTGGGTCCATTAAAATCTACTAGATGAAAATGATGTATGCACTGTGCAACCTTCGGATTTCTTTCTTTTCACAATGCCTTTTAGGTGTATTTTGTCCTGTCCATTCCCAGACCTCGGCAGCGTACAATCCTCAACTTCGGGGAGTAAAAAAATGTAAGTTAATTTGCAAATTTTTTACAAAAATGTTTGCGTCGTTATTAACTAGGTGACGATTCAATTTGTCCCTCCCAGCGGTTAATCCCCCACGAAACTTGGGGTCGACCAACTCACATCTGTCTGTTGACCATTCCTCGAGTCCATAGTACGTGACGGATGCATGGGACGGAGGCGGTGGCATAGATGAGGGGGTTGTTGGGTTTGTGACAGATGGCTGGCCGAATTGAGGACGGGAAAGTTGGATGTACTTATCGCTTTTCCCCTCCCCTTCACCATACAGCTGCTTTCTGTTCGTCTTCCACACTATTCATCTACACCGCAGCCTCGACTCGAATTGGTTGACCAGGTAGAGTAAAATCACCTGCTGGAATGTCGTGGAGCTCTTCACTTCAAGCATCTAGCACCGTTTCATGCGTTCATTTGCCAGTTTGCCATACTCTGTCAGGATGACTTTTAGCTTATTCACCGTCTCTTAACTAAGGCCTTGAATCACCTGCTGGAACTCTTCACTCATCATCCCATTTCTCCTTAGGTGAATAACTAGCTCATTTAGTCGTCAAACAGTTTCAGGATTGATGATTGAAAGAATCAGGTATGAATAAATGATTGGACGGGTGATCTGATGAGTGAATGGATAGGCATTTCAAAAAAGGTAGTTCAGGACCAGTTGGTTAAATGGGTAGAAGAAGGAATGGAATAAAATGGAATAAAATCTAGACGGATGATTCTCATGCAGAATGCTTCTTCATTATCTTACAGACCTTCCAAGCCTCTTCCATTCCCCTGCTGTGCTGTCTACCTACTTTCCTCGTCTCCTTCCGACGCGTTCCACGGACTCCCTCCATCCACCCAACCGTTTCATCGACCCTCTCACCACAAGTACCACCGTCGGTCCTTATCATATGAGACGTCTTTTGGGACGAGGCAATTTTGCAGTTGTCAAGTTGGCCACACACACACAATTAAATGTTCCAGTTGCGGTGAAGATCATCAATAAGGAATTGGTTGGTGGTCAGAATCTAACCAAAATAGCGCGCGAGTTGGAGGCAATGAAGCGGTGCTACAGGCATCCAAATATTATCCGTCTCTACCACATCATGGAGACTGATGCTAACATTTACATGGTGATGGAGTATGCTAGTCGTGGGGAGGTTTTCGGTAAGTTCAAATTTCCCTTTTACAAAGTGTAAAATCCTCAAAGTTGATGGAAGAAGCTGACCATAGGATGGCAAATAAAATTGCTCTAAAAAAAGAAAAGTAAAGGAAAATGAAAAAAGGGATCTGTAGGCATCACCCCCATTACTGTAACTCATCACCACTGGTGAAGTCACTCGATGCAAAACACCACAGATTGCTGACATTAG